GGATAAAAGTAATTGTGTAATATGTAATATGCATATTACATATAACAATAATACATATTACATATAACATATAACAATAATATTACAATTACAATATTTGCACCCCTTTTCTCAGGTAGGATACTGTACCTAGTCTATTATTTAATTTTGTGACCTTATAATTTGTGAAATATCTTGTTTTGTCATTATAGGTGAAATCCAGACACATTGTTAGAATGACGTTGATTTATAAAAAATCAAAATTAAAAATCAATTTATTATAGTCATCAACATTATACTAATACTATTAATAAATAATTATAATTATTAAATGTCAGCATTCAATGTGACCCACTTTTAGTTTAGTTTCACTGTGTAAAATAAAAAGCTTAATTTATTATTGAATTATTTTCATACCATTACACACCCACTGAAAATGCATGTTACCCCCCCCCCCCCCCCCTCTAAAAAGAAGAAAAAAAGTGTCACATCAAACAATTTTTTTACCTAATATTAATAATATCATACAAAATCAAAACAATAACTTAAGTGTTATTTTTATGTACTAAACACTCTTTATAATTTTAATATCCTCACATTTGGTGATAAATCTTCTATCACCTCATATTAATAACTAATTTATCTCTGAGTTGATTTTTTAACAAAATTAAGTGCCCTTTATTACAATAAATTAGATGAATATTCTTATAAAAGGTATTTTTTCTACATAATTTCTGGTTAAATAAATTGTTTCGCGCATCATTTAATGCTCTTTGTAATCTATACTTAAGTGCCTTGGGATAGTTATCGTAATAATATAATGGAGCTAATGAATTATTTAAATTACAAAATTTTTTCCAAACCCTAGTTCGTAAGGAGTATATTTTGTTTGTCTATGGACAGATGTATTAAACGAAAAACACCAATACGGAACTCAACTATTCCAATTTCCTTTGTTATTTTCACACTGTATTCTGAGAAAAACATCAAATGTATTTTCTAAAGGTCCGACAGTTTCATGATGATATGCTGTCGATTGCAATTTTAATGCCTAATAAGTTACAAATTTCTGACATAATTTGGTTAAGAAATTCCGTTCCTTGATCTGTAATTAAATCCAACTCGGCTGGGCAGCGTTCGGGAAGCTACGCGATATCTTCACGTCCAAATTACCACAGTGCCTAAAGACGAAGGTGTATAACCAGTGTGTGTTGCCAGTGATGACCTATGGCACTGAAACGTGGTCCTTAACTGCTGGCCTCTTAGAGAAGCTCAGAGTCGCTCAGCGAGGCATGGAGAGAGCTATGTTAGAGGTTTCTTTGCGCGATAGGATCCGAAAAGTGGATATTCGCCATAGAACTAGAGTGACCGACATAGCTCGCAAAGTTTGTAAGCTGAAGTGGCAGTGGACAGGCCACATCGCTCGACGAACCGTTAACCGATGGGGACGAAAGGTTCTCGAGTGGAGACCACGAACCGGAAGACGCAGCGTGGGTCGACCCCCGACTAGATGGACGGACGACATCGTCCGAGTCGCGGGCGGCCGCTGGATGCAGCTGGCGCAATGTCGTCCGTCGTGGCGTTCAAAAGGGGAGGCCTATGTTCAGCAGTGGACATCTTCCGGCTGATGATGATGATGATGATGATGATGATGATGATCTGTAATTATTTCATTTGGTATACCGTATTTAAGAATAAAGTTATTTACAAAGGCTTTTGCTACTGATTCAGCATCTTTTCGTTGTAAGGGATATGCCTCAACGAACTTAGTCAGATCGCACTGTAAGATTAGTATGTACCTATGATTGTGTTCATCTATTTCTCCTTCATTATCCTACATTATTCTTTCTAATGTCGAACTTTCAGTGGTCGTCAACGTCATAGGCTTCTTGACATTTCTATTAGTGAATTTATTGATTTGACACAATTTACATGTTTTTACATAATTAATGACATCATTTCTAATCCTGGCCAAAAATAATATTAACATTCTATTTATTCCAGCATGTCCACTCGGTAACAAGTGGAAGTCATTTAGTTTAACTTTGTTTTTATCTTCATCTGTAATATGAACATCTCTAGTTATTATTAAGTGTGGTTTACTTAGTTTAAATTTTTTGATCGTACTTGCAAGTAACTTTATATGACTTTCAATAATTTTATTTTTAATTATAAGTAGTTCTAAAACATTAAGTTCTACAAAATTTCTCTAAATCTCTCGCTAACGCTTCGATGACATTAAATTATTAACCGCTTTGGTATTATAAACAATCAATTGAAGACTTAATAACTTCATCGGTTCTTATTTTATTATATATCTTTGAATTATTAAAACAGTTCAATAATATTCTGTGGCGGCTTTAGAATTTCTACGGCCATAGGGTGATCATGATCAGTCTTACGATTTCACAAGTTTTCAAGCGTGCTATTACAGTCAAAATGAGAATTTTTATTACTTTTTTCTAGTAATATTTTCGTTAATGCTCTCGTGAGCACGGATACTTCATGTTCACGCATATTTTTCAAATCACTGGAAGTTACCGGGATACGACTCAATGCGTCTGCAGCTGCTTTTTGTCCTGGAACATAATCTATCTCAAAATCATATTCCTCCAAATATAGACAAAACTTGATTTGCCTACTTGAAGGATCTGTCTCAGAAAATAAATAGATAAGAGGCTTGTGTTGTGTTATAACTTGGCATTTCCTACCATATAAATAAGGTCAGAAGTGTCTTACTGCCCAAACGATGGCCAACAGTTCTAAATCTATAATAGGATAACGCGTCTCAGCGGTTCTCGACGCGTCTGTCTTTAATTTAAAAAATCATTTTCTGAAAGATCTGGGTAATCTAAGACTGAGGGTTTAATTAATGCAGATTTTAATGTATTGAACGGATAGCTATAATGTTGTTATTTCAAAGGATTCAACTTCAAATTGAATTTTTTTTAGTCGTTCTAATACTGAGATTAAATGTTCGTTATGATTTTCTATATTTTTTCTATAACTATAAGATATTAAAGCATTTATAATAACTCAGATTTTTTATAAACGTCAAAATGATGCAAGTTATGTACTTATGCTTGGAAAAATGATATACTAAATCATTTTCTTACGTATTTAGTATTCTAATTGGGTAGTAATATAAACCATTCTTAAGTTTTGATATGAGACCTGCAATAAACACTCCGTCTCTTATTTCGTTCGCGAGTACAACGCAATCGTCATTTATGTTAGTAGGTATATACTTAATAGTTTCACACGTTGCTGTGATCATATGTCAACCCGTTACTAGTTAATTGTAAATAAATGTTTCCCTCTGACACTATAACCTACCACTAACGCTTCTAATGGTTATAGCCGAGAAGGATGAACTTTGGCCACGGCCGCGATTATCTTGCGGTGGAGCCGGCGCGAGCGTGCGCGGCGCAGTGTCATTATGCGACTGGATCCTATTACTATATCGCATGCGCGAGTTATAATTAATGTTTTTATCGCGAAGCACGTTATTATTTCTAGAGAAAGGTCTTGAAACCTTTCTAGAGTTATGTCGAAAATTCATGACCTGCTCATTATTACTTGAGTGTTTGCTCATCCAAAGCAATACGTATCGCTTCAGGGAGAGAATCAAATTCTTTTGATGCCATAGTGATACTCAGTCTGGATTTTGCTAACCCATCTGCAAATCGTTTTACAGCTACCTTTTCATTTAGCGATCTGCAGTTTTTTTTTAGCTTAGAGTTATACATATCTATACTGTCAATTCAATTATCTCAGAATTGTCAATATTAGACTAAATATCAGACAAAATAAAGTCGAGCTGTAAATAAATTACTTTAACTTCATTTGACCGGTTTCTTTCTTTCCACGTTCAGGGCCTATTTTAGTTCCAAGGCCGTCATTGTAATTATTAGGTAGATAATAGGTATTATATAATTATATATACGCTATAAATATGTATAATTAGCTTGCAATACGAACCCAAACCTGGTTGATTTTCTAGGGTGTTGTGGCGAAGTTCCTTTCTCAAAGCTCTTACAGCATTCTTTCTGCACTTGTGTATGAAGTAAGCGGTGGCAGCGAATAATATGACAAACAACGAAATGAATAATATTTCGGTTAGGTTGAGTTTGTTTATGGCTACTTGAGCGTTTCCACTTATGTATATTCTGGACGATGATAATTTCTTCTTTTGATTGAGAACTGAGACACTTTGTTCTAGGTTGATATTTTATTCTAATGATGAAGGTTGGAAAGATGAACCACATACAGGACTGCTATCAGGATATTCTTCATTTTCTTTCTCCAGATTATCGTAATTTGTCTTCGAGTTCTTCTAGATCGATTTCTAACGAAAATCTTCTATCTTACATTTTTTGCTCTTACTAAGTTCCAGTTGTTTGCAGGGTCGCCAAGAAGTATTTTGTTTGTTAATTATAGGTGAAATCCAAATACATTGTTAGGTTGGCGTTGGTTTATTAAAAAAAGCAAAATTACAAGTCAATTCCCATATTTATAATAGTCATCAACATTATACTAATACACGCACATATATACTTAACACAATTATACCTAAATTATAATTATTTAATGTCAGCATTTGATGAGACCCACTTTTAGTTTCACTGTGTAAAATAAAAGTTTAATTTGTTATTTAATTATTTTCATACCATTACATTTTGTATTCTAGCAAATAAAGATCTTATTTTATCCTCATTTGATCAATGTCACTTCGAATTTCTTTTTGGTTATTATTTTGACTGAACTTATATCAATACCCATAGATCAATGATGATTAATTAATTGATCTTGTCTATCTAGATAGTCCGATGATGTCGCTAATGCGATACAAATATCCCTGTATATAATTGTAACGCATCAGTGTTATGTTTCACTGTGTTCTGAGCAAAGAAGTAGATTTTTCTAATCTTAGCTTCAGACTAAAGAAACAAACGTCAACAGACTAATGTTATTCGCTAAGTCCAGTTATACTCAATAAATCTGTAGTTGTTATAATTTGATTATAAGTAATTTTTTTTAGGAAGCAATGATGAGCATATGAGTCAAGATTCTGATAATTCTTCAGAAAAAAGTCAACACGTTACGGATATCACTGATGATGAAGAAGAAGATGAAGTCATTAAAGCTATTAAGGCAGAAAAAAATAAACCGAGAGACCATCCGCCTTCCATCACTGTTGAAGATTTTGTCGTTGATATTTCTTTCAGCCCCATAAAAAACATAATTGCATTAGCTAATATTGTTGGAGATGTTCTTTTATATGAATATGATACTGAATCAACAAAATTAATAGAGACCCATGAGTTACATTTAAAAGCATGCCGAGCTGTTGAATTTGATGATAATGGACAGATTATGTATACCACATCAAAAGTATGTAACAATATTATTTTATTGTGTCATGTAATTAAAATTTAGATATTACTGACTTGGTTCAATATTTAATAATAGTAATAAATTCAAGTAATAATAAACTTAGGGCTGCTTTTCATTCATTCATAAATAGAGGAAAGTAACCAAATACACAATAATATGTTTTATAAAGTAAATTTTGTAAAAATCCAGAAAATATGTGAACCGCTTGCGGTTTTACTTGACTTATTTTAAAGCTTATTATTTTTTCTATAAAGAATAATTTAGGAAAAAATTCCAAGAATACAGATATTTGGTTACTTTCCTATAAGCAAAGCAAAAACTTTGAAACTTTAAAACGCGAGCGAAGCCGTTGGCGGAAAGCTAGTTGGATGAATAAAAAAACATTACACACACTACTCATTAAAATCTTACACACACATACTATCTCGCATTAGAAATCTTTATTTACTGAACATCAATCGACATAAACTTCATAGAAGTATCAAGAAAACCATAAGTAAGCTTATGAAATTTTGACTGCCAGGCAACCACGTATATTTACTAGATATCTGTAAAATAATTGTTAAAAATCTTTTTCAGGATAAAACTATCATGGCAACTGACGTTGAAACTGGAAAATTAAGGAAATGTTATGAAAATGCACATGATGATCCAGTGTACTCACTTTTATGTTTAAATAATGAAAAAATTGTAACTGGTAAGTTGAGTTAATTAGTATTCGGACTAATTTAATTTAGAAAATATTTGTATAACTGTTAAACAAGATTTTAAACATTATTGCATTGAGTTGAAAATCAATAGCAAAACATTTTATATGGATCTTTTTTGGAGATACCTTAGGCGGAGTTTTCCCTGTAAATCCATACTCCGCACTATTTATTTTGGTAAAGTCAAGAAAAAACAAAGATTATGTAACTTATAGAAACATTTCACAACACTTTTTTAGGCGATGACGGAGGTACTGTAAAATTATGGGATATGAGAAAGCCTGAACCTGTTTTTAGTATAAAAGTTGGCGATGACTATGTATCTGACCTCGTGACAAACGAAGCACAAAAGTATTTAGTGTGTTCCGGAGGCGACGGTGTTCTAACTACAATTGACATGAGAGCCAGGTGAATGATTATTGATATTAAACTAATCTATATGAAATCTGACCCCGGTCTGTACACACTTTCAAAAGTTATCTGCGTCGGAAAATTTATAATATCTTTTGTCTGATCATATGTATGGCCATACTTTTTTCTCTGTCATTAGATAGTCGATATAGAAATGGATATATTTGTTCTTATTATATCTAGAATGCTTTTAATTCTAGTGACGTTATAAGTTTGTCATTGCTCATCTGATAATTATCGTTTGGTACATTTCTAACTTCAATATTTCTTACTCGAGTCAGTCAATCTCACAATATTCTTACACTTTTTTGCCTAATGCCACTGTCTAGCAAAGAACTAGATATTTTCTACATGTCTATTTTAATTTTTTGTTTAATACCTTCATAACATGAGCAAGTAGTTTTTATCTATTCTTTATACTTTTTTCAGTAAAATCTATGTTACATCCGAAGATTATGATTCTGAACTGACATGTATGGGCTTATTTCGATCAGAAACTAAGTTACTTGTGGGATCTTCAACAGGAAAATTTTATTTATTCAATTGGAAAGAGTTTGGATTACATAGTGACGAATTCATTGGTCAGAAGCATGCAATTCAGTGCATGTTACCTATCACTCAAAATATTGTCGTCACCTCTGGTGAAGATGGAATTCTTAGGGCTGCACATATGTTTCCACAACGTCAGCTTGGAATTGTCGGTCAACATAAAATGCCCGTTGAAGTTCTTGATATAAGTCACGATGGTCAATATATCGCTTCTTGCTCACATGATAATGATGTAAAATTTTGGAATATATCCTATTTTGAATCGATCGAGTCTGTTATAGACGTTAATCATAAACAGAATAAGAAAAAGGACTTGATTAATAATTTACCTTCCAGTACTATAAAAAATGCCACGGATTTCTTTTCAGGATTAGTGTAATTTTTACATCTTATTAATAAATAGCTTAAAATATTGAAAGTTTTTTATTTTAATATACACACATAGACAATAGCTTAATACACTTAGCCTAGAATGCACTACCATTGGTATCCTGGCCAATCAGAAAGATTTAGGTATTGGGCGATCCACACGCTTGAGAGTGTGCGAGTCTCACTTAATGCATACGTAGTGTCTCCTTGGTCCGTGCTTAATGCGCTGTATTTTACGCCTTATGATGGTTATTGAAAAGACAAAAAAACAAAAGTGATAACTTTCCCTATATATTATACTAGCTTTCCGCCAGCGGCTTCACCCGCGTGGTCTTGTATTATATATAAAAACCTTCCTTTTGAATCGCCCTATCTATGTAAAAAACAGAGAAACGACTTTGTTTTATATTTTGTAGTGTCTACTCTTTGGTGAAAACACTGAATTATCGTGTGTTATTTTTAAATTCAATCACAGGAATTATATAATAATACAAAAATAAACCTTGTAACAATACTAAATCATTAAAATAATTTTGCATGAATACTAGAATGACGTCATGTGCTTTGATTGGTGTTTCGTTTGACGTGAGACATTGCAATATTGATAATATTTTTGTTTATAATTTTAAATAATATATAAATCCATATATTATACATTTAACAAAATATCCATCTTATTAGATGGATATCTAATAATTATGAAAAGACGACAAGTTTTTAACTGATTGATGTTCGATCCCCTATTGGCTACCAAATTCCAAAGAAGTATTGAAATGTTGAACAGCCAAAGTTCAGGAGAAACACCTGAAATCTCAGATAGGCTGTATAGGTTGAATCTCTGTCTTTACTTAAAAAAAACATATTTAAAAAAGAGTTCTAATAACATTGGAAAAAAGAGGATCATAGAAGCAGCAGTTCAGAACATTTTATTTTCAAGATATTTAAAAAAATATATATATTAGTTTTGTTAAAACCTTTAGGTAGTCTGAAAGAGCTGGGCAAATTTCCATTTTTTATAATACAATACCTCGGGGTTGAGATGAGGCCAGCATTTTATTAATTCATCTTTTACTCCCAAGCGAAAATGGAACTAAAACTGAAACTATCTAATTTTTGTAGGCTACTCAGACCTGCACCGGAATCGCAATTTAGCAAAACTTAACAACATAAAGATAACAACTATAAGAAAACAATCACAAAACAACAAGAAAGGCAGTAGCATTCACAATGAATGACAATCCCAGATTACATATTTTGACTATGAATAAATCATAATCTGACAAAATTAAAAAGCTGTACTGCCGAAACGTTTGAAAGGATTCGGCAAAGTTTTAAATTTGGTAGAGTTATGGTGACATGAGAATCGTTCCGAAACTATCTAACCCTGCTTCTTTAGGTTCTTTAAGCTGAACACTTTTTATTGTAATAATTATTAAATGTTTTAAGTCAGTCAAAAACTCATAAATTTGTTTAATATATAGCTTAAAAGACTACGGTTAAGTATAGCAGCTGGTATGGTATAAGTGGATATGTAGCAAATTAGCCGTTAGTCTTAAGAGTAACATGATTGTTGACATTTTGTCACAAAGTAAACCATAAAAAGAACCTTATTTTCATTCTGTCTAATGCTATAATGAATGGAGTATACATAGGTTGAAGGGACATATGCAAATGTATGCAAATAAAAAAAAAAGACGATATATATTGTGTCAGCATTTTTAAACAATATCTATTTTTTGTTTAAATTAAATTTTGTTTTAAATTTGTATCTACTCTGGTTTTGTTTATAAAAATAAGCTACAAATTGTATGTTAAATACTTTGCGCATCTTTAATAGCACTGTTTTGACATGACAACTTCCTGTTTTACATGTGGCATTATATGCTAGTAATCAGAAACAGCTCCTGATTATTATTTGTTGTGTTCATTCAGTATCTAAAAATGTTGCAATTTTTTTACGTTATTTTACTAAAGTTAAATTTACTTTGTTTGTAGATTTTAAGAAATACAAAACCGTAGATAAATAAAAATATAAATAAGTACAAAAAGAGATCAAATATTTGCAAAATGGATAAAAGATCCACATAATCTAGGGTTACACTTAGAATATAAAACATGTAGAAATAGAACAAACAAAGTAATAAATAATGCTAGAAACAACTATTATATTAAGAAAATAAATGAAAGTAGGGGAAACAAAAAAAAAATTGTGGCAACTAAATAAAATATAGAAAAAAAACATAAATAATTTAGATTATGTTCTACTAAAATCATTAAATACTACAGAGGGTGATGAAATGATTATTGCAAACAAGTTCGCAGAGAGCTTCCAAAAAAGCCGCAGCAGGATCTTATCCAAATGTAATAAATACTTGTTTAACCCAAAATAACATGATCAACCGGCAAATTTTTCCATCAGTTTCGAACCTGCAACATCCCTAAAAATTAACAAAATTATAAATAAATCAAATCATAGAAAAACTGGTATCGACGGTATCCATGCTCTGGACATAAAAAGAATTGCATTAAATATAACTTACCGACTATAACAATAAAACTGCTAAAAAGAATATCAAGATAAATTATTACAAAATATATACCGATAATAATTGCTTTATATGAGATTTTTATTTTTATATTTTTTATTTATTATCATGCTAAATTTATCGATAATTATAAATGATATTAAACGTCATTGGTTGTGTCAGTGCCTGTGCACCACACTACATATTCAAGATGTCAAAATTCTGCACCGAATTTTAAACTTAGATAATATGTTAATAAAGCTTTGATTAAGTTTAAGGAGTCCTGTGACATACATAAGTGTGTGATATAATAGGAAAGTATAAGTGCAAAAATTTCACGACTCCACTATTTCGTGCTCTATCTGTATTTGGTGCTTGGTTTAAATTAATTTTATTGACTTCTTTTGAATGAGTGAGAATTCAACGAAATGAGAAATCCGCTGTTTCTTCATTTTTAACGCACATAATGACATAAAACAAAGATTTGAACAAAAACGCTGTCAAAATGAAGAAATCCAGAGAACGATCAATCCACAGCAAAGAAAATAATGAATATATGGATGCATTTAGTTCAATCAATGAAAGGCCAGTTGATGATATATCTTTAGAATTTTTCTATAAGCCTCATACGATTACTCTTCTAGCAGTATCTATTGCATCAGTTATTTATTCTGCATTTGTAAGGTGAGTACACAGTTCTATAACCTATAAATTAGATTAAGACTATGTACCTACATCAAAGTACATACTAATTCTCTTTAATTCCTTTATAATGATTGTTTACATGTAAATATTGTGTTATATTTCAGAGATGAATCTAGGATTCAGGATAACATTTGGTCTGGTATTTGCTGTGTTGTGTTCTTCTTTCTGATAATATCCGTACTTACATTTCCAAATGGACCATTTACAAGACCACACCCTGCTGTTTGGAGAATTGTATTTGGGCTTTCAGTTTTGTACCTACTGGCTTTGCTCTTCCTATTATTTCAGAGCTATTCTACAGTGTACGAAATAATGTATTGGATTGATCCTAATCTACGAAATTTTCATATTGATATGGACAAGGTAAGTTTTTTGTTTGCTTATGCTTTTTTTTTAAATATGTTGTATAGATAATAAAACATATTTTAAAAATTTAAGATGCTATAATATTTCTTATATATTATATTTCTTTACGATATACATCTTTCTGTACCTGAAATATATATTTTGTATCTTAAGATACCATCTTAATCTTTGAAATATAGAGGTATTTTGTTATCGCCTGGCATCTTAAGATACTTAATGTGAAAATATTATATTGATTGTATGTATTGGTCCATTGATATGAATGGCAAAGGATACTTTATCTTAAGATATCATATTATGGCATTTTAACCATCTGTTACAACCATAATTGGCTGTAAGTATAATATTCATCATAAATAAACAAAATAGGTATCAAATAAATGCTTTGCTCTACTTTTGAGATACTAAAAAGTATTAATAGAGTAACAAAATACATATTAAAATTATTAACAACTTTGTAACTATTGATACTGATACTGATACTATGTATTTCAAACTAGTTGACAGCTCTTTAATCACCTTTTCAAATGAAAAAGTAATTACTTTTGCATTCACAATGCCATACTCCTGTCCTAGGTAGCTCAGTGGTTAGAGCAGTCGCCCAGATTGTGAAAGGTTGTGGGTTCGATGCCCATCTCAGGGTGCCAGGGACCAAGTGGATTTTTTAAGCATTTTGTATTAAGAATAATTTATCTGATAATTTGATGTTTTTAATTTGTATTTTTTTTTGTTAATGTGGCAATGTTGCCCATTGAACAATTGTTTCACATATTTTATTTTATAAATTAAGTTTTTGTTCAATTCTTATGAGATGATGGAATAGATCAAAACTTAAAATATTAGGATTTAGAAGATCTTTGGATGAAGTTGGCATTTTGACCAAATGCATAGGTTGCTCAATGGTGTACCCTACTCCTTTAATGTAAAATTAATATCATTAAATATTCAATTTTCTTTATGGTTTTTAGGAGTATGCAGTTAATTGTTCTGACATCAGTTTTACAAAGGTGTGGTCCCATGTGGATGTTTTTGCATGGGGACATTTTTTAGGATGGACATTTAAAGCAATACTTTTTAGACATGCTGGATTATTATGGGCTATATCTATTATGTGGGAAATAACAGAAATAGCATTTGCTCATTTGTTGCCCAATTTCTTAGAATGCTGGTGGGATTCAGTGATATTGGATGTGTTAATATGCAACGGTTTGGGTATATGGTGTGGCCTTAAAATATGTAAGGCTTTAGAAATGAGAGAGTATAAGTGGGTTGGTATTAGGTAAGTTTTATTATTAAAAATTATTTATATATCAACATACAATTAAGTAATTCTTAGTGCTTGGTCTATAAAAACTAATGTCACTACAAGGTGTTGTAATTCACATAAATGATCTCTAATTAATATTAATGATTACCTTGTGATGATAGAAATAATCTTATGGTTCTTAACCTACATCATGATCATACCTAGTAGCCATTTACCATTAAGAAAAACAAATTATGCAAATTATTGATGCAACAAATATAGTAGTTTTAACAGACCATGAACTTGTACACTGTAGACAAAGCATGTTACCAAACACTTCAGATGAGCGAACATAGTTCATTGTGTTTTTCTTTTTTACAATGTACTATTTTCATCTGAAAATATAATTGCATGATGAAATAATTGCATTTTCTTCTATTTGCATCAGTTCAATGTGGAATATCTAGTCTTAGAATAATACCCTGTACATGACACAGACTTCATTTAAAAGGAAATTATTGGCATTATTGTGCATAAGTGAAAGACGAAACTACTTCTACTAAAGTTATTCTATTTCTTTTTATTTCAGAGATATATCTTCAACAACTGGAAAAATAAAGCGTGCTATACTTCAATTTACACCGGTTCATTGGACTCCTGTTAGATGGCTTGATCCTACATGTACTTATATGAGATTTTTTGCATTGAGTCAACTTGTGGTTTTTTGGCAGATATCAGAACTAAACACATTTTTCTTAAAACACATATTTGAAATGCCTCCTTCACATCCTCTGGTTATAGCACGTCTCTGTCTCATTGGCGTTATAGTGGCTCCATCTGTTAGGTAAGTTTAAATTTATTTTTACTGAAACTTGCGCACCAATACAGACAAGGATATTAACCCAAAATTATAAAATAACCGTGACAAAAGCACAGGCTGATTTCACCTGCTTAATCTTACAGAAATATGTTGGCGTTAACACATAGAGAAACTCTTATTGATTATCCAGTTGTGGCTCAAAGTGCTTTCATGACAAAATTTTACAAATTATTCTGTGACTGGTTTTTCTGAATTTTTTCTGGAAGATTAAGCAAGTTTGAGTAATGAAGAGTATAATTCATATTTTTCATCCCTCTGCCACCCAATTATCATTTTCCAGTTTTCTATTTTAGTTTCTGCATAGAAACTATTTATTAAATCATTTAATATAATTCTTATTTTTCAGGCAATATTACATATATGTAACTGATCCAAAGTGTAAAAGAGTCGGTACACAGTGTTGGGTGTATGGCGCTATTATGGTAACCGAGTCTATGCTATGTATAAAAAATGGAAAGGAATTGTTTGGTCAAGCTCAAGTATGCAATGTGATTGTGTGGCTAGTCATACAAATTTTAGTATCAATTGGATGCGTTTACGGAGTTGTACTCTATCATCGATATTTTGAGGTAAATATGACAAATTAGTATAAAATTGTTACATTAAATGCAGCAAGAATTTTTAGCTAATGCTCAAAATTTAATATGGCGAAACTTTTTACGTTTATTAGTTTTTCCCCTCGATTGGATATCGAAAATAAAAATTAAATAAAGATGATTATAAATACTTTTCTATATTGTCTCTGGTCTGCATATATTAAATTACGTTAATAGCCTGGAACCAGATTTATTGTGTATGATTATGATTAACCTATTTATATTAGTAAGGATACTGGTGTTAAATGATCCTGTATAATAGTAACCGACAAATGATTAGTACTCATTATCATCACTCTGTTAATGTCCCTGCTGCTGTGGCTCAGGCCTTCCCTGTGTATGGAACCCAATCAAATCGATTAAGAGAAATGGGCCATGACCCACCACGCTAGCCTAGTGCGGATCGTTGGGTACCAATGCAACAGAAGCAACCAAGACCAATGGCTTAACGTGCCTTCCGAAGCATAGAGGAGCTCGAGATAATAAATTTTTGGTCACCCATCATATGAGCCACCATACGAAAATCTCTTAACAACCGTATCGCACGCTAACTACTGCGCCATGGAGCTCCTCCTAAATGTTTGGTAATGCCTTAAAACAATATCTCATAGCTGATCTTAATTCATTGTTTTTATTTTATACAGAATGTCAAAGACAAACCCATCGGCAGTCCAAAAAAAGACGCATAAAACATAGGTAAGAGATGAGTATTGATATTTTTTATTCTATATCCAAAAAATAATAAAGACAAATAGGATATTTGTACTATTTGGATACCCGACGATTAAGCGTATTTTTTAACCATCAATTTAAAGTCCGAGAAGGACTTAACTATCGTTTGACCAGCCGCTATGCACGTTTTACATTTGAATTCTAAGTTAATATAAAATTGTTCAAAATAAATTTCGAATCACATCATAACTTAGACAAACACATATATATTTTGAAACTAAAATAAACGAATAATGTCAATTTTCACATATGACAACAAATCAAATGAAACTTCAACGTCTATACTATACCAGTAAATAGTTTAATTAATTATATTAGTTTATAATCTTTTTCTTTTTCAGGCCAAAAGTAAACAAAAATAATCAATATCAACAAGGAGACAGGATGAAGAAATATCAGCTAACCTATTTTTATCGAAATATTACTATATGGACATAGCGATATTATAAAATCTCAGTTATTTTGTTATCAACGTGGCGAAATAGTATACTGAGTTTGAGACTGAGGAAAAAAATATCATATTCAATTCTCCAAAAATATATAATTTATCACCACTCGTATAGTTATGTACACATTGTGTAGAAACGAGTATAATCTTGCAATTAGTTAATGTGTTGACACGTAAACTTTGTTAAACAATAGTGAAAGACAAGTCCAGACTGCAAAATGTATTTATAGTAATGTTATTTACCATTCGTAGCTCATGCGCATTATAATAATGTGTGTCGCGTCGATATACTTCCAACTACCCTATCAAGCTGCACATTGTCAAAGAAGCAACTGTCAAATCACAGGGCCGGGATCTATGGGAGGGTAAGTGGGGGCAATATCAGGGGGGCGCCAAAATCACCAAATTATAATACAGTATAAAGAACGGGATCCATCATTAATTTAACCTTTAAAAATGTATTTTAATGTTCATGCACATTATAGACTACGATATAAAGGACGTGTTTTCACAGATCCTAAATAAAATAATAGAAAAAAAATCATACATTGCAAAAATAGTATAAAATTATAAGCCTTGTGAAGAGGGAGGGGGGGGGGGGGGAATGGAAAGGCACAACAATTGTCAAAAGAGTATTGAGAAATTTAATTTTGTAAACAGTGGATTTTATTTAGCTATCGAATATTGTCGTACACATATTTGCTTATTTCATGAATATATTAAAAAATTAAGAGGCCATTCGATGTGCTCATTCCATATTTTGAGAAGTCAGAAATAACCGTGCATGTTATTTCACTGAAGTGGATTATTGCCCAATTTGTGAAATGTTCTATCTAGATAGAACTATTGAATAAAAATCCTTGATTATGACAGTGGAAAAAATATTTCAACAGCAAGCTTGCCAACATAATGATATCATATGCCAACACAGAAAAATCTTATTAATAAATTTACTGTACTTATCAATAATTACGTTAACGTTCAAATTTCCAAAACCGCATGAATAACGCTGTGTCTGTCATACGCCGCCATTACGCCGCGTATGACGTCACACGCAAATAAATAAGCAAACCCCATCAAACTAAAATCGTCAACAGGAAACCATATTTATTTTGTGTAATCTGAAAAAATTATACATTATCTCATTTAAAATAAAATATGTGATATTAGATTATTACGCTATTATCTTATAAGGTGATAACAATTTTTAATTTTGTCATATACCCATAATTGTATTCCTTTAATAGCAACCGGAATAGAAATGATGATTAAATTTTTGTCTGTCCGTAAAAACTGTAAAACACGTATTTTTTACTTCGTGCTTAATAAATAAATTACGGCGAGAAATTTAGTTAAAGCATAACGCCACGCTTTTGTACATTTTCTACAAAACTATGACGTACTGAGTCCCCACTCATTAACTTTAACGCCTGTTAACTATTTCTTGTTGAATTGAACTAAATATACGTATTTAATATTTTTCTATTGTCCCATTGACGGATTAAATAGAATTTCTTTTTTTCACCCTGGCATCGTGCCTAATAGGGATATCATTCTGAACACAAGCCATATCGTTTGAGCATGCGGGAAGTAAAATGACCTAAAATTGTAATAGGGATATGAATTGATAAGCATTGAGTTAATTACCTGGATAAACAGTATACTAGCTTCCGCCAGCGGCTTTGCCCGCGTGGCCCCTAGAGAATTGTTTATTTGGACAGCAATTCATATCATGACACGGATATAATTACAATTACAAATTGTATAGTAAACAATGGTTACTATGGTAACGCTTTTTATCTCTACAAACTTCCACACCCATTTTCATCCCTTTATTTGTTGTTTTTCGGGATAAAATATAGCCTATATTCACCTGTATAATGTAGCTTCCCGTAGGTGAAAGAATTTTTTAAATCGGTCCAGTAGTTTCGTTACAAACAAACAAACAATCAAATGTAACCTCTTTAATGTAAGTATAAATTATCGCTCATTAAAATATGACAAATGCTGTATATACGTGTAATCGGCGAACATTTATAAGTATTGTGAATGTTTTAAGTTTTGCTGATGTAGGTAGGTACTTTTTGTAAACTAATGCCATGAAGGGTAGTTGGGAATATATACCGGTGTCTTCGTAGATGATTATAACTGACCAGAGGTGTTTAATGTTTATTAAGCCGAATTGCATTTTAGTGTGTAGTAATAAGACATTTTTATGATTTTACCTAGTAAATCCTCTTTACCTTGTACTGTGTAGGTAAATGTCTTAAGAGCTTTTTTACATGTACGGTACAGTCTTGCAAATTGCAAAAAGTAGGAATTGTTAGAAACTTTAATTAAAAAACATGAATATTTTGACTTTCATACTGGACTTTGACCATTCGGGGAAAAAAGAAAAATTAAGTATTTATTATCTTGGACATTTCGGATGTCTGTTTCCTTAATATTAACGCAATAAAAATGGCGTCTCGGTTACTTGTATTTTGCCACTGTATTATCTTCTTTATTAAGAAGGGATTGCAATTGAAGCGCTATTGACTCGCTAAAGTCAATCGTGCTTCAGCCTTCACCCTTTACGACATAGTTCATGTTACTATATAATAAAATTATAAATACATCTGTCACCATGCATTTTCTAGAAAGACATTGCACTAATAATATATTGGACTTCAGGTTGATATTACAATGATAAAATGCAAGCGCATGACGCATACGTTTTAGTACCTGCATTTAAAAAAATTACACCAAATGAACGTGTGATTCGTTCTATATATGTATGTGCCAATAAGTAGGTATCATTTGGAACGTATAAACGTAAAAAAATCGTGTTTGTGAACGGGGGATTAGAACGTCACATTTCTAAGAGGAATTTGAAAGGTGATGCTTTTTAATTGTATATTTATATTTTTAATTGGCGCTGTTAAAACAAAGGAAAGCAAATGATATAGGTCATAGCGAACTTACACGGAACGGTTCCAATCCGGCGATTTACTTGCATTTAAATTTCAATATGAAGTCGTATGTCGTACATAATGAAAATAAAAAAGCAAAGCCAAAGTGTAAAAGTTTAAGTAATGGCTTATCTGCGCGTTTCGCACAAGTTTGCCAATGTCAAGTGATTAAATTAGTTAAATTATATGATTTCATCATGTAAAATGAATGAAAGAAGGCGATGAATTCCAAAGTCTAGGTCAAAATAATGTTCACTAGGTGAAATTGGCAGAATTATGGTTGACCCAAAGTAGCCATTGTTATTTAAGATGAAGACAAATCGCTGCGTTCTACGTTCAGTGTGCTATGACCTTAAGGTAACGTGACCATACGTCCCGCTTTGGACGGTATTGTCCCGCCTAAAGCGGAAATGTCCCGATATTACAAATCAACCTTTATATACCTACTAAGTTACTTGTCTACATTAAAATTCCACTAAAATAACCCTCTGAAGACGGCAGATGTCACTGAGGGTGAGATACAAAATTATTTAGTCACAGTCAGTTAGAAACCATAATTTGTATTCTGTTTATATATGGTATCTTACATAGACTTAACCTCTAAATATATATTTATTTATATAGAATGTTCCGTAGACGGCCCGTGTTGACACAAAAAAGTGGTCACACTACTTTAAGGCAACGTAAAATATTTCGGCGCTTGTGTTCATGTGTAACGACTCAATTAAGTTTAGTAGTTAGATATACATATGTATAAAAATATGGCTGTTTGATTTTGCTTAATGAAATGTGGTAAACATACCAAATATAGCTAGTTTATATACATAGTCGTTGTCAATACCTCTCCAATTCCTATATTCTTAGTATGTGTATATTATATTACTCTATTTGTATAATAGGATAGAATTTCAATTTCTTCACGTTCCACTCATACGTGATCTCGGGGACTTCCATTGACATATGTGTATATGTATCTATGTATTGGTGACTTCCATAGCCGTGTACTTACATGCTAGTTTCAAGGTGTCTCTGAGGTCTCGGGTTTGGGTGTTGTGATAATTCCGTTGTTTCGGATTTCCATAATACAAGGAACTAATGCTACTTAATTTGGAATCTGATGTAATGTGATGTTGTCTAATATTTATTTATATTTAAATGTACTTTATTGCATTTATATTTAAATGTACTGTAGTTCAATAAGTGGCCAGCGAGTGTGTAGCAAAGTGGACCGGGATCCACACTAGATAATCAAATTGGTAGTGTTACCAATGTATTAGCTTCGATTCGAGTTGGCAGCTCTCACCGGCGCCGCACATCCTGTCACTTTCTGAGAACTCTAGCAACGTCATCAGGAATGTATGTATATTTTTGCTTTAGTTTTCTTCATGAATAAATTTTTTGTTTCGGTTTGTGAAGCTTGATGATCTTTACACAAAGAATATCAACTCCCTACTTATCTTTAAATGACAAAAAGGCTAGCAAATTTTAAAAATTATTATTATTAATATTATTTTGTCGACGATACCAATTAATGTGCTTATGACGCCATTAAGTAACGAGCTTTGACGGCCAACTCGAAGCGAATGGCTAGTTTACGTGAATACACGTTCGCCCTTATTAAACGCGGTGAACGAATCGAATTTTTAATTTCTTTGCATAAAAAATTAACGTATTTATGAGCATATTTTTCATTGACAATCGTTTCGATTCCATCGATGAAATCAGCGACAGTAACATAATTTGCTATTAAATATACTCAACACAAAGAGCGAATGGTTTATGAATTTGAATAAAGGCGAAAAAAAACTTTCGTGCTCAATAAATTAAAAGTTAACATATGGCACGTCAGGCTAACAAAACTGTCAATTTTCTCCAGTTGATTTTAAACCTCAATGCATTGAGGGTAGAGTTTAAAGTCAATTGAAGAAATTTTACATGTTGTGGTAGCCTGACGTGCAGTCATGTGTATTATGATGTGTAAAATATCTTGTCGCCGCGGGGACCGGTTTTATATGTTTAATATAGGGCCGTTTAAGTACATACATTAGCTTCGTCCCGCGTGCCGTAGAAATGTATGAAATTCCTTTACTGGACTGGCTAGACATAAATGCTGCTTCACTGGTTTGTGTTTAGAACCTTTATAGTGAGCTGCTGTTAGTATTTATAAGTAGATAATTTGGCAATGAATGTACATAAATTTAATTGTTTTAAATACACAAATGCAAAACATGATGTGTTTTATTCCGCCTAATACTTTTGATATGTTTATTAGTATCTTTTATTGTTATAGTTCACAGTTTATTTTAAATGTATTGTTAAATACAATGTAATTTGCTTTTCAACACATGTGTTAACTTTTGTAGGAGTACCTATACAGGATATTTTTTTTTTGCACACTAACACACGTTTCTATAGTCGAGTAGAACCTAGTAATTATTTGAGTCTAAGTAATTACCTAAGCAGATATTTTTACCAAATAAACAAGAATTTGAATTAATTAATAATGTTAATAGTTAGAATACTATTTTTATTATCTACTAGCCTTCCGCCAGGGCTTCCCCGGCGTGATATAATTTTAAATCCAATAATGAGAATATTCCATAAAAAAATTATCCCCTAATTTACCACTTTAGGGGTCGAGTTTTGTAAGATCCCGTCTCAAAGTGTATCAAGATACCGTGTTAGAAGCGGTAGTTAAATTTCTCAATAACACATTCATAAATGAAGTGTGGAAATTCAAACAGGATTCGGCCCCGGGACCAAGCGCAATACATATTAGAGAATTAATACTTAGTACGCCAGAATAAAAGTCATTAGCTCATTGATAAATCTCAGCAAACTCGCGCTGTATAGCTTAACCGTACCTCCATACCCCCTATCAGTGGCGTAACTACAGGGTGGCAAGTCGGCATAATGCCACGGGCCCACGGTCAGAATAGACTCTACTCCTGACATTTATTATTACGCAATTACTAAAAAAAATTGAATATCCAATTGCAACGCGTGTCAAACGTTAAGCGGTATAGTTAAGCCACCTATAATGTCACCGTTTCTTCTAACTAACATATTAAAAAACTGAAGATTGAAAAGATAGGGAATAGATATCGATACAAATAGAATATGAGTTGTTTATTGAGTTTTGAAAACTAATTTACTTTTATATATGAAATAACCGGAAGTATTGCCATGGAGAAATCAAGAACGTACCGTAGCGACATCTAGTTTGATTTCGGGAACTAATTTTATTTTAATACTTCCTCAAAAGCATTGCTAACACATACTAATTTTATGTAGAGAAAGATCTATCTAGAGAAAGCCCTGCCAAAAAAAATTTAAAGTGATAACTAACTATATGCATCGCTAATGCCTGATTCTGCTTCTCTTTCTCCCGTAAATAGAATATTGTTATTGACGATCAATAGTCTATATCAATAATTTGCTCTAAAAATATATAACTAGAATATTGGGAGGTATTTTAAAACTATTCGATACGAGTAGGTATGGATACGGTAACGAGTAAAAGTATCGATACCTAGGTGGTATCGTTTCATCCCTACCGGCGTTCCTCGCAGAAAGTCTGGGGTCCGGGAAGGTAGTCCACTGCGTATTTATAGGGGCCGATACCACATGTAAAAAAGTTCTAAAACAGTTACCCGTCCCTTTCTTACCCAGTGACTGTCCCTTTCTTGCCGCCCCGATATATACCTATACCTATAATACAGGTACCTAATTTTAACAGTGTTAGCTCTAATTTATTGGTGCATAACGCCATCTAGTAATGCGTAGACGAACCGCGATAAGATAAAGTAAGAAATGATTATTGTTAGGAGTGCAGCAACTCCCAACAATACTCATTTCTTACTTTATCCATTCTCATTAATCCACACATCCATCTCAACATTCTCAGCTCCGGTTTTTTCTGTGCCAAAATTGCCCAAAATTCAGATATTGAAGATATTAAATACACGGGGCACATCAATAAGGGTTGCCACTTTCTAAAATAAAACCCGCAATGTATTCTTCCCTACCGCGCCAGCCTACGTTTAATTATGTAATACTTATAAATATTTACTGAAACATCTAATTTATCAGTCACACTAGAATCGACAGCAGGTCTAGGTCTCTATAAACAAAATGGCTACAGCTCGGTGATATTTATGCTTAAGTTATAGTTTTTGAATCCAAATCTCAATGAATTAAGATATAAAAACAAATTAAGAAATTTTAGTTTTGTATTACCTGATTTGCTGTTAACTGTACCTAAGTATTTTTTTAATTTTCAACAGAGACCAAGGTGAGATCATTTTATGAATAGTAATTGAAATGCAGTAGGTATTGTAAACGCCTGCGAACAACTGTAGTTATCAACTCCAACAGCTGCATACAAATCAATTAAATATTATGACTACCTACAAACAAATTAAACGGGTAATTGAAAGTCAACTCATAAAAAGTAAGACTTTATTGCGTAGAATAATCAATGATACAAATATTTAGTAATTTCCTACTATTTAATAAGGTTATAATTTCAATACTATTAGATAACATAATTATATATCTGTACAAAAAAGGAACAATGTTATACTTCAATAAGTTTTCCTGAACAACAATTACAAGGATATACATTACTTAACTCCAAGTCGTTTCTTTTAGGGTCAACCAAAGAGTTACTTTTAAGATTAAATAGTAAACTTCTAACCTTCTCCATATCTTTTTTTCTTGATTTCACTTGGAAATACATGGCTAGTTCTTCATCTTCAGCAAATCTTATTAATATACCACTTAACTCTTCTAATTGTCTCTTTAGTCTGTCACATTCAATTTGGAACAATTTTACTTGTGCACTTCGTTCATCATCGCGTTTTTTTAATAAAATTCTTTGCTGTTGATATAATGCCACATATTCACATATGGTGTCAGTTTCATTTTGCAATTGAAGAATGATGTGTTCTAATCTATGTTTTTCATCAGCTAAATCTGCAACTTCAGACATAATTTTCAAGAATCGATCCTGAAGTTTTATCATGGCATCTTCTTTAGGAATGTTAGATTTGGTTATTTCATTGGGAAGATCACATGAATCGTGAACATGCACACTATTATTAACAATATTTTTTTCATCTGGCAACATCAAGTTTTCCTCTTCTTTTACATTGTTTTGGATATCAATTTCGTTGGTTCTTTGATCACTCTCATTGTTTGTGGTGCTTTCTGTATTATTTTTGACATCTTTAACAAGGTCTTTGTATTGTGTTTCTAAATCTCGGAAATTATTTAGTAATCTCATCATTTCTTCATCTTTAGCCATTAATTTTATATGCATATCTTTACATTTATCTTCACATTCAGCTAGTTTAATTGTTAATTCTCTGTTCAAGAATTTTTCTGCTGTAATTTTTTCTGTGAGATGTAATTTATCTTGACTCTGAAAGTGTTTTTTAACATTATTATTTATATTGACGGTGAACATCCTATATTTTAGTATTTCTTATTTATGAGATTTCATAATGAAACATAATGTAAAATATGTTGTGTTGTGTCCTTGTTGTTTCGACTTTTTTTATATATTAGAATGAAAGGGATATATTATTGGATTTATTATATTTAATCAACTTTGTCAACCCACCTCAGTGTTTTTAAGCATTTTTCATTAAGAAAGGGATATATTGCAAATAAAGTTGCAAAGCAGAAAAACACTGTTGTAATAAACTCCACTTTTTCAAGAGAGTGATATGACATTTGAGTTATACAAAATTGTACATTAATTTGATGTTCAGTATTCTAGAACACCAATTACTAGTATTCAAACAACTTTTCAAAACTGAAATATGTCTGTCGCACCACAAGAGAACACAACATAATACAATTTTTATTTTCTCTTTGTTTAAACACATTAAATATTTTTTTAAATTGTTTTTAAAGTCTAAAGGTTAAAACTACAGAATTACAAACCATTTTTACAAAAGCTTCTTCTAACTCTTGCATGCTCGTTTTCAATTTTATGTTTTGCTCAGTAGCCCTTTGTGCAGCTATTTTATCACTAGTAATATCGGCAGTTAATTTCGTAACACTAATATTCTCATGATTACAGGCGGTTTTAATTGTTTCTTGTAACTCTTGAACTTTCCTTTCACTCTCTGTATACGCTTTCACCAATTGCTCATATTTCATTGTCATTTCTTCTAATTGTTTCTGGAAAAGTAAAAGATTGTTAAATTAAGTATTACAATTGTTATTATGAGTGAATATGTTGTTTTAAAAATTCCCTACCAATCTTTCGATTTATTATTCTTTATTAAGGTTCATTTTTTAATCATTGTGGTAAAAATAATTACAATCCCAGAAAAATTAAAGGACAACTGGAAACATCATAAGATATTCCCTAATAGTAATAATAAGTCTCTATGGCCTGTGAGGTGCCAAGTAGTTGATTAATTTACTAGTCTTTATGCTTTCATCAATCAAGCAGTAGTAGTCATTTATTCTGCAGATTGCCAGTGAGTGAGGGACGGCCTTAATTCAATAATAATAATAATAATTATAGTTTGTTTGCCTTAAAAATGGTATAAAGGTGTTAAAGTTGTAATATTTCGCCATTTTTAAATAGCATGCAAAAACAGTATAATGGAATCTAATACAGCAAGAATAAAAAATATCCTAAACAATAATCACAATAATGATAATCAAATTATTCAATTCTTATTAATGTTGAAATGGTATTTGTATTACATGTCATAGTTAAAAAAAAAGTTATAATTAAAGGATAGCTTTACTACTTCATATTGATTTCTTATATTTCATGCGCAATAAATGACACTTAATTTGCAGACTGGTCTGAAGCATCCAAAAGTAAATACAAATGCAATGAAACCATTCAAATGTTATTTCATTTATTACCTCATGTCAAAGTGATCAATTAGTGACTACATAGAACTTTACAAGATTAGAATAACTTACTTGTATTATGTTGTGTTCTTGTATTGCATTTACATCTATACTTTTGTCATGTGGTTGTCCCTTATCCTCCAAACTTTTCACTTGCAGGTTTTGTATCCGTATTTCCATTTCACTTATCTGATCGACTAAACTGTTTTCTCTGTTTGACAATTGGTTTATTTGTTTTGAAAGGTCTTCATTTTGTAAAGTCATCAATTTCAATTGTCCATTTAGCTCACATACATACTGCTCATAATGAATGTTGATTTGATCTCTTTCTTTTTGAACTGTCTTCAATTGCTGTTCTAAATAATCAATTTTCTGTAACAGTTCTTCATTTCGAGTAGACCCAAGATCACCATTATTTGTAGATGTATAGGTATTAGCTCCGTTCAACAACTGCTGCACATGCAGTCTTGATACATCCAGTTCTCTATTTAATTGATCCAACTGACTGTGCAAGGAAGCATTTTCTGTTTCTTTTGCTGTTAAAACAGTTTTTGTAAATTCTAATTTCTCTAATAAATTATCATTTTCATCTTGCAATGACGACTTTGTTATGTTCAATTCTTGGATTTTATTATTTTGCAATTGCATCTGATTGGTTACATATAAATACTTTTCATTAAGGTCATGGAGTTCACTTTCTAAATGACATATTTTTTGTTTACAATCATTATGATAATATATTTCTTGTTTAAGTTTCAAATCTAACTCTGCTAATTTAGAATTTAATTCGGTAACTTGCACTTCTAGATTCCTTTTGTTACAAATAAGCAACTCTGCCATGTTAACATCTAATGTATCCCCTTGATTTTTAGTAATTCCCACATTTTCATGTGTATTATTTACATTGATCTCTTCTTTCATGTTTTCATCATGATAATCAATTATTTTGATTTCATTTTCGTCATTTTGACTCAAACCTAAATCAAACTGGGTATTCTCTACTGTCTTTTCAGAAACTTGTTCATTTGGAAGAGACACCTGTTTTTTATGTTGATGATCTTTAAGCTGGAATAGAAAAAAAAATATATACCATATTATTTATTAAACAAGGTGACTTTAAATTTATAGCAAACATAGTTCTGGAGATCTGACAAAAATTAGTTATGTGACTATCAAACTTGTAAGATTCATATCAAACACCCAGCCAGACTTAATTGACAGATTGGTTGCTGAACCAAACTCCAGTTGGAGTTAAGAATAGCTATAGAGATTCTTCTCTAATGCAAAACTGTATTTTTTGGATATGAGCCCACCTGTGTGACTAAAAATGTTATTGTAGTAGTATGTTGTGCAAACTATGCAACATTTTTCTACCCGAAGGGACACCGACATATAGGATAACAATAATAAAAAAATGTAATCAAAAGTGGGAATCTGCAACACAAGCCTCTTTTGGACACCACTAGGGACACTTTCCTTACGATTGTCACTACCTATAGTTTAGTACTTTCATTAATGTTCAATATTTTCTTCTTAAATTATCAAAGGACGACATAATGCAAATACACTTTAAACTGTATGTTGTCTGTACAATGAAACATTCAAATATCTTGTTGATAATGATCTGTAAATGCCTGTGCTGTGTTTACATATTTTAAATGTTATTTGGGAGAGCATAACAAATTTTTGCAAACGCTAAAATTAAGGAACAATATAAGGAACACGCTACAAACATATATGTAATAAATTTAAAGCTTTATTTAAATAAACCAGACCTTTTTTCGAGCTAATGCTAATTTTGCTGCACGGCTGTCCATCGTTGGTGTATCATGAATTTTTTTAAAGCCTTTTATTTAACTTAGATATAATCCAGTGAAGTATCAAGATTGGTGTACTATTTTAATTAAAACCAAACTACGTACATAAAATAAATTCAATAAATATCGCTTCACTCTTCTTCTTTTTTAATTCATGGCCTATTTGCATTTACACAATTCATCGCTTCACTCGAAACTTATCACAAACGATTTGACAACAATACGCAACGTCACAAAATGTTTCGAATGTCATTCATAATCGTAGGCTAAAAGACGGATCTAAAGAGTTGCCAACTAAAATCCGTTAAGTACTTACCCAAAATCATATTTATTTTTACAAGCATATGTCTGGCGCAGCCTTTAGGAGCCTAAAAAACATACCTATTCAAATTCCATGAAACTGACAGCCAGGTGTCAGTTTAGGGATGGAGAAATGGGAAAATAGTATCGATATATTTCAAATGTATCGATAATATCAACAAAAATATATCGATAAGTTGATACATCGATATTTTCTGCGTAATAAGCGATTATCAATGAAAATTTGTCTCTTTTGACATCAGTTTTATTATTTAATTTTTTTATTATAAATTTTATATAAAAACACACATCACCAAAACACATTCATACTGAAACTTTCTTACTATCACACTTGTTCACTTACATAAACATTCAGCATAGATAATCAAACACAAATTGACTACTGGATTGTTTCACTTTTTAACTTTTTCATTTTTTCCAATATTTTCCTTGTAGTAAATTAAGCACAATAGTTACTTAGTCATTTAATGCGAAAATAGTCATAATTCCCGTGGGGTGGGTCCTGGTGATCACAAAGTCGACAGGCAATCTTCTTTTTGTAATTGTGTTTAGTCAATAAACATGTAACCATGTTCCTGTATTTGTGAGGAAAATAAATTCAATTTTTATTTTTTTTATCTATATTATTTTAAATTCATCTGATATTACATCAGGAGCACACTTAGTGATACCAACAAGCAGTGTCATTGTCATAGTCAAACAAAAAAGACAAACAGGTCATAGACTAAACTCATACAGCCTACTGCCTACCTACTCTTTTTCTAAATTTTAGAAATACACGATGGAACGCATGAGCAAACAGCAGAACTTTAAGAAATATATCAATTTTGATATCTGAAAATAAATATCAAAAGCTGATATATCGCGAGAAAAAATATCACTGAAATATATCGACTTTTTTTGAAAAAAATAACGATATTTTGTTATATCGATAGTTTTTGCCCAATCCTATGTCAGTTTGTAGAGTTTACTATTGATATGAACGCTAATAAATTTAATATAAGTTATGCCAAAGCCTTGGAATATTGGTCTGAAATTCCTCCAACAGTAGATGGAGTGCTTGGAGGTTTTGGATTCATATCGGAATTAGATATCAATGGTTCGAAATTATTTCTCGAGTCTCTACTTTCATCAGAAAATGCTCCCGGATGTAGCTTAGCATTAGATTGTGGTGCTGGCATAGGAAGAATAACTAAGGATTTGTTAATACATCACTTTGAAGCTGTTGATGTTGTAGAGCCCGACCTAAAATTCATAAATTCTATTAGAGAATTTGTTGGAGATGGGCAATTAAAAATAAGAAGACTTTATAATGTTGGCCTGCAAGAATTTATACCTGAAAACAAATATGATATCATATGGAACCAATGGGTTCTAGGTTACCTTACAGATGAAGATTTAGTATCCTACCTAATTCGATGCAGGTATAAATTGTTTAAGGTTATATTACATACATTATAAAAGTAATAATACACATTTATGTGCTAAAACTATGACAAGTTATATGCTCATATAATTTCTCGCTTTTTATTTTGAATTTCACATTCTAAGATGCATTAGTTAATTTAAAAAATACCATAATTTGTTACAGAGATGCACTAGCTCCCAGCGGTGTCATTGTTGTAAAAGAAAATGTGACATCTACAGGTAAAACAGAAAAAGATGAGACTGATTCTTCAATAACAAGGTCACTTAAACAATTTATAAAAATATTCAAAAGCGCTAGTTTAAAAAGAATTAAACAATGTAAGCAAACAAATTTCCCTAATGGTATTTACCCTGTATATATGTTTGCCTTAGTACCAATAAAAAGTATGATTTGTATAGATAAATCAGACTGAAATGAATATGGAAATAAAAAACTAAATACAATTTCTACATATATATGTGTTTGTTTCTTTTGGTAACGTACATTTCATTTTATAGAAAGGGAAAAATAAGCAACATTCAATATAAATACTTTGTTTAGTTCACATATTGCCCCTGAAATATTTTTGAACTTCAAAAACGTCTTTTAAAATATATACATATCCAGCTAAAATGGGAAGGACATGTTTTGAAAGTACCTTAATGATAAAGCATGTTGGATTGTGCTAGTAAAAATACTAACACATGTCATTACCTCCCTATCTATATCATAACTGCATTTTACTAACTTCACAGTACAAAGTTATTAATACAGATAATGCATTTGCGATTTGTCCAAGTATTTTTACTAGTCAGACTTAAAAAAAGGTAAAAAAACTGGTATGTACGTGTGTGCGACATATATACGCGTGCACATACGAAGTGTCGACCTCGTTTAGCCTCTGTTTTTCAACTGCATCGTTTATTAGCAAGAGAAAATGAGTTCAGTAATTGGTTTGCTTGCATGAAAAATAAAGAAGGGAACCCAAAACTCGTTCTTTTTTCTTACATTCTGAAAATTAAAAAATTGTGCAATGGGGATGTCAACACCGATATTTTAAAATGAATATCGCCGATTTCGATATATCTGAAAACTCGTAGTATCGCCGATATATCGGTATTCGATGTATACCTAATTTTCGTCTTAATCGAAAGTAAAATATTTGTAAAAGTTATTTGTCTAAAAGTCAAACAATGATCGTCGAACGATATCGCCAGATCATTAAATGCCGGCGTATCACGGTGTGCCCGGGCATACCACGATTTGGCCAATACAACGATCGGGCGACGACACATAAAACTTTAGGAACCGTAAGGTTGAATGTTGGGGTTCCTATTGTGGTGATGGAGACAACTGACCAGGGAGACTAAAGGATAAATGTCTCCCTCCGAGCTAGGTGTTGTTAGCCCGGGGACCGCGGTCCAACCGATGTAGGTTGGACGTTCTATTTTATGTTAATTGGTAATGAAACTTATTCTGTGCGATGCAGGTTTCTTTGTTCTAAATGTCTTGTAGTTATTAATTTATGCTACTTGTATTGGTACAGCGCCATCTCGTTACTTGCTGTTGAAACTTATTGCAGTTCGTCTTGCTATCGATGGCTGTGACGATGCTAGACTTCTCGCTATCGATTGTTGTGGCGATGTTACTGCGATGAATTAGATGTCGCTATATATCAGTCGCCACAAAACCATCCTTTTGAATCACCCTATTTATAAAAAAAAAATCGCATCAAAATCCGTTGCGTAGTATTAAAGATTTAAGCATACATAGAGATATAGGGACAGAGAAAGCTACTTTGTTTGATACTATATAATGATGGCGATAATTCGATTCATTTTACTTACAGAACACTTTTACTTCAAATTTTACTACTTAGACGTTGTACATAAGTAACGACGAAGAGAGATTATAAGTAGATTCGTTAGAAGTGTTACCAGCTTAGTAATTTATCTCAAATTTATCCACTAATCACATGTCAAAGTAATATGAATATATAATCAGAATCATAAATATCAGAAATATCAACATAAAATGAAATATCATCATCGATAAAATCCTATTAATATTATAAATGTGAAAGTTTCTTTGTTTGGATGTTTGTCGGTCAATCACGCCGAAACTACTGAACGGATTTTGATGAAATTTGGTATACAGATAGGGTGTTAGCTGACTTAGATGATAGGACTTTATATCCCACTAAACATTTCCCTAGGGTCCACGCGGACGAAGCCGCTGGCGAAAGCTAGTGTATCCTATAGCTAGCTAGAATCAAAGCTAGAGAGTTAGGCGGTCACAATCCTGTTGGGTGTTGGGTCTGAGTTTGTGGGTTTGAGTCCCATGTCGAAGTTCATGGCACTGGTGAATTGACTATGAAATAAATTAACGAATAAAACATCATTTTTTATTTCCTTTATTTGGAGGGGTTTTTACCCTTTCGAAAATGTCAACCCCATCATAGCATACCTACTTATTTATTAAACACTAACTAAATAAATGACGACATTTCGGTAGAGTATCTTTAACTATATATATATGTATATACATAATTAGTGTGTCAATCAATACACTATCTAAAAACATTTAATTTAAATTCTTTTTGAATAACCAACAAATAGTTTTGATAACTTTTTATGTTAGTTATTTACAAAATATTACACGAATCCATATAACAATTACAAATTGTTACACCAATACATGTTACAATTGAAAGCTCAGAAAGTTAATTTTAATTTCTGCTATTTCGAACAAATACCTACCTTATAATGTTAATTGCATAGTATTTAATAAAGTAATATTAAGCAATGTTTGTTACTTAAAAATAGTAACATTTCAAACATACAGATAATTATAATTTCATTGCCTTTAAACAACAAACCATATTTCCATCTTTCTTTCTTATTTATTATATATAAATATAGGTATATATGTAGCATCTAAACCTACATAATAAGTAAATGAATAAATCAATCTTCACAATTTTTTATTAATATCAAATGCACTTATATAAGGGCCATACGACCCTTTTCAAACGTAAATAGGTACTTAGAAATTACGAACCGGATTGTAACCTTAAATAAAATATTGTAATCTTATTTAAGGTTACAAACACATACACTCGCACACGACGCTACTCGAGTTGCAATTTCGTTTAAGTTATTCTCGTTCATTAAAATAATTGTTTCATTCAGGAATTTAAGGAACACACGGCGACCGGCACGAAGGGTCACTATGAGAATGTATTTATGTAGACTAACGCTGAAGTAAATTTGTATTATACTATCGGTGTTGGAGCGCCTTAGATTAAACGAATGCCATCGGATGCAAACAATTTTCGTTCGGTCGCATGTCCGTCTTTAGCTGGTTTATGTCGGTACTTTGGCAGTAAGAAGTTTATATTCAATAGATAACCTGGACAGTTAAACGTTTCCTTCATTAAACAACCCTTCGGATTCATGCTAGTTCATACGTTCTATCGCTGTCAGCCGCTATTCATATAATAAGCACACGTGACCCAAGGATGAACTCAAACCTCAGAGAAACAAATTACATAACTGTTGTATGTATTTAGTGCAAATAGCAATCTGTTGCCCCCTCGAGGGCATAAAATTGAAAAAAGAAAAACTTATAGACGTTGCACACGGTTTAAATATTATTTTCACAATTTAACCAGTCATTCATAAATTGAATTACATGTCATATCGCCTTAAAGGTGACGTGTCAACATTAAAATTGTTAATTTTTATGTAATTTCTCAAATGTTCTCGATCAGTTTCAGTCAACAAGCTCCAACTTTCCAATTCAACAAGTACTTTTAAACTTATGCAACTCTGTATAATCCTCTCGACAGATATCATAGTCAAAAAATCAGACTGCATAATACGCAATTCTTTAAGATATATTAATGGATTTTTATTTAATATCTTTAAAATAAATTCATCAGTAAATTGTACAGCAGTCCCGATATGGATAAATTCAACATTTAAACAATTTTCAAGTAAAAATAAGAGATGTTCGTTTGTGCAGGTAGCTACACAAGTTAATCGTTTTAAGTTTCTAAACGGCAATATTTCCAATTTTTTCGTAAATAACGAAGTGTGTTGGATTAAAGTACAGTTGTAAATAGTGAAACTCTCCAATAAAGGGCACATTTGACTTATATACATCAGGGCATTTAAATCAATTTGATCAACGTGTTCAAGGTGTAAGCTGCTTATGTTACACCCTTTGACTTGAAGTACCTGCTTGACACTATCTGCATAAAAATCGCATGATAGTAATTTCAATTCACGCAAGTCTTGCAAACCTATCAATGCCATTAAATCACTTTGAAGTGTGTTGTGGAAAACAGTCATGTTTCGAATAAAAGGACACATTTGTACCGCTAACTGCAAATGATTTGCAACCGCATAACGACTGACGTATACCTTCAAATTAAACTGAGACCTTTCTGGTTCAATTATTGTTATGTATTCTAATACTTTTCCAATATTATCACATCTTCCGATATCTTCTAGAAACTTACAATCCAAAAGTAATTTTGAAAATCCTTCTAGACTTACAAATGTTCTGTATAACTGTATACTTTTCAATAATTTTAATTGTACAATGATATCTACGCTCGCGTTCGTTATGCTTATAGAATCAGAAATATCCAACTTCTCAATCGATTTACAATTCTGTACAATACATTTTAAAATATTATCCGTACAATCGTAATTTAAAACGAGATATTTTAGAAAATGCAATTCTTTTAAAGATTGTATTATAGATTCCTCCAAATCGGCAGTTTTCCATCCACCCGATAGCGAACCTAAATTTAAATATACAAGACCTGTGAGAAGATTTAACTTTGAAAAGAAAACGGTTCTTAAAATTTTTGGTACTTCACCCACCGATACGAAAGTAACATATTTTGTTAGCATTACTTCAGTCATTTTTACTACGACGTTCATTCTACTAACGATTCTGTCCATAGCGCGAAATCCAAATGATTTTTTTATATTCTCTAGCAGCTCCGCTAAAGCTCTAATTGTTTCAGCAAGTAATAAGTCATGAAGCATCCACGGGACGTTGTATTCCATATAGCAACGAAGATTTACTACCGCTTTTTCTAGCGCAAGATGCGCTGAGCTAGAGTCCTTTTGAGCAACTTCATTGAATATCTTCATTTGTAGCTCAGCTTGTTGGGAAATCCAATCGCCAAGTTTGTGTAAAGCTAAGCATTCCAAATTCAACGGTTGTTTAAATCTTGACATATTTTTTGTTTACCTGGAAAAATAATTCATGTTCTTTAAAAAACTAATTTGGTTGACTGCGTTTTCAGACGACGAAATAAATCTTCACAGATGTATTTTGATTTTAAAAAAATTATAACAACTATTCAAAATTTCCCGAATTTGGTCTAAGACAAATAGAGTAGGCCCTCCAGGATCATGTTAATTTGTACGAGTTATACGTATTGTTTTTCTTTGACGACGCTCACGATATTTGTCCGTTTTTCCGCCCGTGTCTTAGGATTGGTGTGTGTGCTTGAGCTTGAGATAATTAATTTTTGGTCACCCATCCTATGACCGGTCATTGCGAAAGTGGCCTGATCTCCGCATCGTCGAGCAAACACGTTAATCAATGCGCTAATCGTTCTAATCATTGGGTAAATAAGCAATATTTAGATGCGATGAAAAATAAATAAAGAATCGACACACCCCAATATTAATCGCATACCTACTCATTATTAATAACTGGCGTTTACTTACTCTTTCAAAAAGTTCGTAATAACCGTTTCGTCACATTAAATTTACTTTGCGGCAGTCTCGCTCCTTCCGTATCGTCCATTATAGATAGGTACTGCACAAGAGTATTGTTTTTATAATATTACTTACGTTATATCCCAAATCACTCAAAAAACAAGGTCTTGTATTGGATTTATATGAACAACAGATCGATTTGCTGCCGGTAGTGCCTCAAATATCAAATTTTTACTACTTGATTTTGCTTCAAAAACAACTATTTGACAGTAGGTAATAGTATGAACTAGTCGTGAGTATTTTTAGAATGCAACTCGAACGCCAATATATGTATTTTTATCATCTGCTTCTCCATTACGTACCTTGCTTGTTATATTGCTGTAAACACAGAAGAGCAATGATACCCGTATAAAAATTTATGGTTCAGTATTTATATTACAGGTGACAAGGTTACTCCAGAGGTATTTAAAAATATCGTTAGTAATTTATTTAAATTATGTATATGTCATAGGTTAAAACAGACGTTTAATTGGTGAGTTAATCATTTAATTGAATAGCGCCATTTACTTGGACGCCTAGTTTTCTAGTTGAATAATTATGGCATTTGGATTTTTCAACAAGTTCATTCAAAAAGTACATTAATTTTGCTATCTGTTAAAAAATAACCTAACCTAACCTATGACGTGACCTACAGGACCAAAATAACTTTGTAGTTTATGATTTTATGTTGTTAATATGTAAAAGGATATTGGTGTTTTTATTCATCCCTGTCAGATTTCGCGCCTGATAGAAGCCGGAGAAACATCTGACAACGAAAACTTTTACGTAAACAACCTCGCGCTAAATCGAACCAGGGGCTCTATTTTTGAATCATTCGTCTCGCGTCGAGCGCTCGTTTTCTACTATCACTCGCATACAACGTTCGCTAAGCGACGAGTGGTTCATACCATTCGTTGCAGTCGAGCGATTTAGAAATGGCGAATTTGTTAAGTCGAACGAAAATCAGTAGAAAACGAGCGCTCGACGCGAGACGAATGATTCAAAAATAGAGCCCCTGATAACATAAGTAATATAAAAATTCTAATAATAATCCTATACGATTTTCGGTCGGATGTTTCCGCTGGCTAATAAACACAGAGAACATCTAACAACACAGAAATATATTTTTATTCTGACAACGTTTTTGTCGAACCCAATAAATAATCTAATATACAATAAAATGGGGTAGATAGGTTACTTGAATTAAAAAAGCTTCACTTTTAACCTATGCTTAATAGCATACCTGAGCGCAGTCTGGTGAAAGCGTTGATTGTGTGAGTTTATGTTCCATAATCATTTTAAAAATGCCATCCTATTTTATGCGATACTGTAGAAACAACATAAGTAAGTCATCTATAGACAAAGGGGTCACATTTCATTCGTAAGTAGACATTTTTAATTCTTCTTCTTTTATTAATGACTTATCTGCGCATTTCGCATAATTGTGCCAATGTCAAGTGAATAAATTAATTTCTACATGTAAAATGAAACTGAAATGAATGAATGATGATTTGCGTTTTAATCAGATAAATAAATAATACGTCATAAAAAGAAACTTTAGTGCCTTACATTTATTAGAAAATCTATATGAGTCTGAAACTCCGAGACTCCGGGGTTTGAATTTTCGCTTGGGTTAGGATTTGGCTGGCATGCCAGGGTCCAATCATTGCGATGAGCGTTTCCGATTATCGCAGAGAATCCACTTTTCATCACAGTTAATGATTCGATTTAAAAACCCTTCATTATTCTGCCGCTTAAGTAATGTTAATGCAGCAGTCGAAGCGCGTTTGCCGGTTTGCTTCACTCAATTCCTTTCAAACTTTTTAATCTTTCCAATTTGCTTCAAGTGGATATAAACAGTTTTATAACAAACACCGCAGCCTGCAGATAACTCGGACGTGGATTGCGGTGGATCCGCTTCCACAATAGACTTCAATTCTTCATTATTAACTTGGGTCTCCGGCCGTTCACGGGGAAATTGAATGGCGCCTAACGAAACACAAATACAAGTGTAAATGGCTGTATAAAATGTGATTAAAGTGGCCAGTTCGACAAACGCCATTTTCATTATATAAGGACCTATAATATCATTGGTAGCTTCATACAAAATATTTAACCACCTAGCACACTACATTGTATCAGATTCACATTGTATTCCCGGCCACCTAACTTTCTATCTCTAGCCATAGCTAAAATAGATATTATTGAACATATTCTTGTATGTTATTGTTTCATTATTTATTGTATACACGGTTGCACGTCAAGTTACTACAAAATGTAAAATTTTCACAAATGAATTTGATCTCTACCTAAAATTAAATTTGACAGATATGAGTAATCTAACGTGCTATTGACTGTACATGTTTATTCATTGCTTTCTATTAATGTAGTTTGCTGAATTACATTATACATGTTGTTTTGTTGCGACTTCGCCACATATGTTATAACCACCCGCGTAAGATGTAGTTTCTACAGGCGTGTAAATTTTCATAACTTTCATATCAGTATTTTCGATGATTACCCCCTACAATATCAAATGCGGCATGCAAAGGAGTGTAATCGGATGGGTGACCAAATTTATTACACACCCGCTTCACCCAGCTCAATAAAATAAAAAACTGATCACCCATCCCATTATTGGTCTTTGCGATCGTTACTTAATCTTCACAATCGCACCACTCCGCCCTATCCCGCAACGCATGCTCCATCCTACCCCGCCCAATCAAATAAAGAAATTGATCACCCAATTATAAATAAAAATAAATTGAATTAAGAAAAAGTTGTTTGGTATACGAATTTCCAATAAATCGGTCGAATTTCATCGAGCCAGTAAATAACCTAACATGTATTAGAAGTGTTATATTGTGTCGGGGGTTTGTTAAATTATTGATTAAATTTTGGAATTAGGACAGGATGGGAGTTTCTAAGTTCTTTGTCTAGGCTAGGAATAATATAAATTAAATGTACAAAAACCATTTCATAATTTATAGCGTTATTATTAGGCATTTTAATATAAAATATCTGCGTGCATTAAAATTGCTAAAACATTATTAACACAAGAAAGTTAAATAACAAGTGATAAATATCGTGTTCTGGCATACCAACCAAACATTATAAGACAACCCAAAACTTGGATTTTTGCAAATAGAGCGTCTCGAATGCAGTTACAAAAAAAGTTTGCTTAGGGCAAACTTTATACCACATAGTGCGACCGCCAATGCCTATCTACCAAGTATAGGTGTAACTAGAGATAGGCAATGTAATCCTGATATTTTTCATTACTTTTAGTACCTATCTACTAACATTCCTCAAATATTTACGATAGTATTTTATAAGACAAGTACCTACATAAATTATTTAAAAAACTTCCGAAATGTAGGTAACCTTTAATGTTAATTAGGATCACATTTACCCGTCTCACAATATTGCGTGCCATATCCATTGAAAGCTTCGCTTAATTCCGCGTCTAGTTTCCTCCACCATTCGCTTTAATTAAAGCAATATTTATTGCACAAAATCGGGTGATATGTATGGGTAACCATAAACCGTACTCGATCTTTCATTTACCTACAGATTGCATTCGAGAAACTCTCTTCGTTTAATAATGGTGCTAGATTTTTATTCTGCACAGTAAAAGCTCCTTAGTTGCGAGTGACAAAAATTCAACCAGTTTCCTGTATTTAGTAAGTAAGACTTGCAGCTAAAATTTCTTTATTCGGCGGCAGTAGTTGAAGTCGGCATTTTTAAAGGTTGTTGAAGATTCCCCAACGGACTTTTATCAAAGTAGGTAATTTAGGTAATTAATTACTATAATATTAAACATTGATAAGTGGTTTGTTCAAAGAGAACTTACTGAAGCTGACTTGTATGAAAATAATTTTTCACCCCCAATATTCCACTAAAGACAACAGTTCAACAAGAACTAGTAACATTACTTTTGAAGCTCGTTATTTTTTTACTGTGGTTCTGGCGTTCGGGACATATGCCTACAGTATCAGAGCCAGGTCCGAAACTGACAAAATAATTAAACCTCCGCCAGGCCCGAATCTGCGATTTTTTCCAAACGGGGCAGAAACTTGATATTGCGCCCTTTCAAACCCCCTCCCCTCACTTTTGTGAAGCTGGTTATTTCTTTAACTGTATTATAATTATGATGACTTTGGCGCAACTAACACTGGCCCCTGTCCGTGGCAAGTACCCCTTCTTATCCGCGAAACCCCCCGTAGATCTTGTCCTGACCTTTGCTTGAAGTTGACAACGCGTTATTCTACAATTTCTCAATAGATATTTTTTTATACATATTGCTCTTATTTTAGATTTTATATTCGCGGAATGTTTACGGAACGTACTCAACCCACGAATTAGGAGCTTTTACTGTATAAATAAACCTATTTTATTAATATACAGTGTCACAATGTTATGTAAATAAGGTTTTGTTTTGTAAATTAATAAATTAGATTGTTTTACCAACAACGATAGATAAAGTTACATTGTATATAAAACCCTTAACTGTAAATAATTATTATCATCTTATGATATTAACATTACATATACTTAGGTAGGTATCCTATAAAATCATGTAATGTGAATATCAGAAGGGGCTTTATTTAACTATGACAGTCATTATTCACTTTGTAAACCCTTTAACCATTAGCTTATTCAAAAACAATTCTTATCGTAAATTAGTTAAAGAAATGTTACTCACACTTATTTCAATTACCACTTTTTTTGGTTTAATTAATTAATCTCAAAGTAACAAAAAAAAATATGTTTGTGACGACGATAGTCTAATAACATTTACGAATAACTTATGCAGCAAGGTATAAAAAGTTAGAATGTGTATGATGTCGAAAGAACGGTCTGCAAGCACATCGAGTCGTCCAAATCTAAACAAATTTATGAAATCAATATTGAAACTTACCGTGAATGTGTAGACATTGTACCCTACTTTCGATATCGGGTACATGTCCAAAAACATTGTGCTTTATGTAAGGTACCTACATTTACTACTTTGGGGTAATAGTTGTCAACATATTATATAAGAAACAGGTCAATTGCGAGTGTGACTCGCGTAATGTACTAATAGCTCTGGGCCATCTATTAAAAAAAAGCAAAAAATCACGTTTTTCATATGGCATTATGTATATATTTTTTAATAATTTAAGAAAATGAAATAAGGCAGCATTATCATAAAATACGGAAGCGTCAGTCACTCACGCGCTCCGTTTTATTAATTCATAATATTAAACTGGGTAAAAAAATGCAATTCCCTTTAGTCCGTCAGTCAGAAAATAGAAAAATATTAGATACGTGTTTTTTTTTTTACTTCAATTTAACAAGAAATACCTTAGATAACAGGCATTAAAGATGAGGAGTGGGGGCTCGCTACATCACAGTTTAGTAGAAAACGTACCATAACGTGACGTCTCATTCGTAATTTCAATTCCATGTAACGCCGTAATTTTATGATTACGAAAAATAATAAAAAAGTACGTGTTTAATATTTTTTAACACTCTACCTGACGGACAAACAAACAAAAATTAGTCGTCATACCTATTATTATTTTGTTAGTAAAACATATCTAGGTACGTAAAAGTCTGATATTGGTCTAAAGAAGTCAGCTGAACTGATTTTAAGTGGCGGGGTCAGTTATTTTTATAGATGTGTACAATTAAAATATAAAGAGAAGGTGAAAGAGGTTTTTTTGTATGTAGTCGATTATGTTATTTAATGTAAAAAGTGACAGTTACTATTCGGAAACGTTATCATAATAGTTATCAACTCTCGAAATGGAATATAGTCTACGTATACCCATATCGGTATACCCACAGCAATACGGCGTGTCGCTAATCTTTTTTTTTATGATTAAAACTTATCATTTAGTTTTTATTACAGGTTCTATGGTTTTTATGTTATTATTTATTTAATCAAATTTCTGTGTCCCGTTAATTTAGGGTTGCCAACCGTGTATCTCGGTTGCGGTGCTACGGGAGGCCTGAAGTATTTTTGAAAGAATTAAGTATTTTCATTTTAATTACTTTGTTTTAACTATTTGCATTACTGGGTCCTGTTTTTAAATTGAATTGACTTGTCCGAATAAAATTGATGTTAGTATTTTTATAAAACAATGTTTTTGGACATTACAATGTCGTTGAAAAGTCGAAAACACGTCAGATTACACCAAGTACCAACATTTTTCCCAAATAGATTTTAAGCCTTCACATGTTGATAATTAAGTTCAAAATTAACTGCAGACATTTGGCTTTTCTATTAACCTGATGTGCCGTATTAATTAAACATTTCAATATCATCATTAAATTTACAGTTAAACGTGTGATATTTGTATAAAAAGTCGTAAGAGCTCTGGGCCACAATAAATGTTCTTGTAGGTAACACTATTATTTCTGAGCCCATTTCATATCATCAGCCCGAGGTTTGCAACCGGTCAACGCTTCGATTATCAACTCTAGCGTTGACCAAAAACGAAGCTTTTCCAGCGGCCAATTGAGCCAACCAGTGGTGATACAAAAGTAAGTCTCGTGCGGCGCCACGTGGTGAATGCGGTGATGGCGGCGCGGTAATATCACATGCCATTCTTGTAAACACACAACCCACGTTGGTAAACCAAAATATGTGTGTGACCATTTATGAATCTGAAATCAAGAACAGACAATCAATAACTCAACTTAAAAAATTTAAAGACATAACATTTAGGGTCTACTCGTAAGAATTAACAGGACACCTGAGGGCCTATTCTATTTTTCCTCGACAAACATGTGGTTCGTTGTAGTATTTCGGAGGAATAGAATAGACCTCCTATTCCTTTTATTACGTTGAAACTGTATGACATGCCAAAGTTGCTCTCGACGACAAGTTCGTTGTTTTTCAACACATGTAAATTTTCAAAACCAATGAAATCAATTTATTATTTGCCTGTGTTTTATACACGGGCAAATAATTAATAATTAAAATAAAGAGCTTTTCAAGCGATAAAATAAACCTAACACTGATATATAGTATGTATAATAACACGAGGGAGAGATTTTTTAAGCTCCAGAGTTAGGTTTCGATGCTCCGAATTTAAACCCCGGAGTTTCAGTCTCATAAAGGTTTTCAAATAAATGCAAGGTAGGACGTAGGCACTAAAGTCGAATTGTCCGTTCTGTTACTTACATAATCTTTGACAGATCTTTTTCGTTATTTGTAACCGGAGTATTTACTTTTTCTTTTCATGACACGATATTATTTTCTGATTAAAGCGCAAATCAATTAAAATGTATAATTTACGAATGTAATGTGGCCTCTTGGTCCTTAGACGACTAGTTTCAACAGTTTCGCATAACACAGGATGGCATTTTAAAATGATGATGATCAACTCTTTCACCAGACCAGATAGTTTTAAAGGTGACACTTTTAAAATGCAAGTAACCTATTTACCCTTTTTTACTTTTTTATTTGAATAATAGTATATGGTGACTAAACTCTCTACGAAGTATATAAACAGTCAAATTTAAGGCCTAAAATTTTCTGTCAGGATGACTAATCAAGATTAGGATTGGGCAGAGAAATCTTGATCCGTTCTAATTCGTTTCAAGATGATCAGTCAGCCTGACAGATCGATGAGGGCTTTATTTTGACAGAAGAATCATGTCTTCAGTTAAGCAGTAGTAATAACGTAGAGCAATTGGATAGGTTAGATTAGATCTGTGTTCTGACCTATTCAGCTCGCCACCCCAAAATTTAAAGGTATTTGAAGTCAGTACTGTCTAATTTATTTTATGTATCAGAGTAAATATTTATGGAATTAACTAATTGATTTTTTATATATCAACACCTTAGACTTCCCTAACAAGAAGCGAGTTAAACAACAAAAAGTACGTAAAGGTAAACACAATTAAAAAAATCTACAGGCGATATTAAACCTTAAAATGTTAAAGATTAAGTTCAAAATCGATTAATATTAAGGCAATCTGATATGCTCCTCTCCTACGGCTCTAACCCGTAACTGAAACCTCGATGGATCATCATTCAACTTGACAGTTCAATAAGGGATTAATTTAGACAGATTAATCGTTGTTTTAGTTACGCGGTAGCGCCACCTGTATAAGGGTAGGTGCATACCTGAAGAAAGATAGTTCGTCGAACACGAAACGTCGGAAATGACAAATTATATGTCATTCTACATTGTACACCCGTCGGAATATCCTACATACAATAAGTTGCAAATAAATGGCATATGCTAATTAATCTTCGTTTGCGCAGAAGACTAATAAATTCCGATGATGAGCGAATGAGTCGCCATAATGCAATACATACTTGAACTATTATGATTGGCTGACATTTGCCGCGCTTCGAAATTTAGCTTCCTGCACAGGTACATTAGTGAGCGACATCAGCACTATCTTACTTTACTGACGCATACTACCGTGTGATGCTTCACTAATCTTACGTAAGATTTGGACGAGTCTAAAGCTGAATATGTTTATATACGTCAAATAGTAACAAATGGAATGTGGTCATACTCTTACCTGATTTGTCATCGCGACAAATATACAGCATAAGTACCAATAGGCAATCCAGTTGAATTCTTTATTAACAATAACATCGTCACATGACAGTAATTGCCATACTATTCGCGCTAACACCGGAATAGTAATAGCAAAGTTGTCACCGTTCGTTTCTATGAAATCGTGACGGGTAATTGACGTTGGATCGATATGGTGCTCGCGAAACGGCCGCAGGAAATTCTGAAATGGTTAAAATTGCACTAAGTTCATTCGAGATTTTACTAATACACATAGTATATATAAGAAAATGTATAAAATAATTACTAAATGCCTATATAACAAATGAGTATGTACAATTTAATTAATTAATCACCGTCAACCAGTGAAAACTATTTCCACTGAGGTCTTAAATTGTGTATAATAATTATTATACAATTACTAAATTTCTTCATTAAGACCTTTAATAATTCCAACATATAAACACGTCAATTTACGAATTATTATCTGTTATTAGTACGAGGGTCAAACTGAAAGTTCTTAGAACTGGCCACTTATAAACAATATAATAAAAAAATAATTCTAAAATTTGAAAATATAACTCTTTGCCAATATTACTGAATATATATTTCATTCATTTGTCATTTGTTTTACGATTTGGCGGCAAATTGAAAATTGTCTGTGTCACGTCATCATGAATTTAACACGAGAAAATTTTCGTGCAATGATTTTTTATGACTTTCGATGTCATTTAAGTCAACAAGAAAGTTATGATAGACTACGATTGGCCTTTCACGATGAAGCCCCATCTCGTGCGACTGTTTACAACTGGTTTAATGAGTTTAAACGTGGTCGCACTAATCTCACTGATGATTTACGTGAGGGACGGCCTTCTACGGCGACGACTGAAGATAACATCTGTGTTGTGCGGCGTATGATAGAGACTGACAAAAGAGTGACCTATCAACAGATTCGGACAAGCTTAGGCATCGGTATGAGTCAAGTGCACAAAATCCTCCACGAACATTTAGCGGTCAGGAAGCTTTGCGCCCGGTGGATACCTCATAATTTGACTGAGGCTCAAAAACTCCATCGTGTGGATTGGTGTCGTAAAATGATTGAAAGATTTAACGGAGGTGACTCAAATGCTGTGTTCGACATACTAACAGGTGACGAAAGCTGGATTTACTGTTATGATCCTAAAACCAAAAGACAATCTGCTCAGTGGGTGTTTCCTTTCGAGGAGTTGCCAACTAAAGTGAAGAGAGATCGAAGTGCGGGAAAAAAAATGGTGGCCTCGTTCTTTGGAAGGATAGGTCATTTTGCAACAATTGTGTTAGAGGATCAAAAAACAGTTTCTGCAGAATGGTACACTACCAATTGTTTGCCACTTGTCTTGGAAAAAGTTCGAGAGAAACGACCTCGCAGTAGGATCCTCCTTCACCACGACAACGCCTCGTCGCACACCGCCAAGCGAACGATCGACTATTTGGCGACATCAAACGTTGAATTACTGGGTCACCCGCCGTATAGCCCCGACCTCGCGCCTTGTGATTTTTATTTATTTCCAAAAATTAAAGAAAAACTTAAAGGAAAGCGGTTTATGAATGCTGAAGAAGCGGTGGCTGCGTATCGCGATGCCATTGAAGAGACCCCTAAGGACGAGTGGGCAAAGTGCTTTTCCCAGTGGTTCCATCGCATGCAGCGGTGTATTGACGTGAATGGACAATATTTTGAAAAGATATAATAAAACTAATAACTGGCTAATGTAAACAGTTTTTGATTTTCTAAGAACTTTCAGTTTGACCCTCGTAATATCACTACCAGTGAGAAGACAATAGCAAATATTGGTGATTTTAGAAAAAAATACAGATATAAGAAATTCTCTACTAATAGATATAAGTTAGTAAATAGTTAGTAGTTATTAAAAAAATTAAATGGTGCTCCATGCAAACGATAAATGGAATAGATTACTTGGTATATATACGTGTCTAACAGACTCAAGCCTAAAACTTTGGTTTCTTCTAAAGGCACTTATTTACTCTTCTAACTTACCGGCTGACTAAGTAAGATCTATGCGATAAGTGATAAATCTTTTTAGAAAAACGGAACACAATTTTTTTAACATTGTAGTTATTCTATTTTTTCTTTGACTATTATTGATCGTACATAACTTTAATAGTAGACCTTACCGAGTAACCATTTCAATTTCATACAACTGTCATTAAGTTTGTTTTTAGTTCTCTTAACATTAATCAATGTTGGAGCGAATTATATTTTTTTTTGTATGTCTGTCAGGTAGATTTTTGAAAAATATTAAACACGAATTTTTTTATGCGTAATCATTAAAATACGGTGATACCTAGAGTTAAAATGTCACATGATGTCACGCTTTTGGAACATTATCTACAAAATTGTTACGTAACGATTCTACACTCCTCAACTTTAATACCTGTTATCTAAGCTATTTCTTGGTAAATTAAAGTAAAAAGAAATACGTATCTAATATTTTTCTATTATCTGACTGACGGACTAACTAGAATATTCTTTTTTTACCCAGGTCTAATACGTACAATAGGTATTATACCTGGGTAAACGAGGTATCTATAGTCTGTTCATCTTCTTCTGAGACAAAATGTAAACAAACTGGAAAAAAGTTCTTTAATATGTCAAAATATAAATGCATTTAGAATTAATGAAAAAAGAAAGTGACATTAAAAACACCTAAAATTGAAGCTGTTCCCAAACATTGGACGTATTAATACTACTAAATTGAAGAGTAGTGATAATGCAAATACTTTACGTAGAAACGTGAAATTTTGTAATTAGTCGGGTTATACCGGCCATTTTTACTCTCGATCAACTTATTGACTCGTGCAAAATGCTTTCGTTTAATTCTTGTTATGTGTTTATTCCAGCTGTTTAGTTTGTTGTTTTCTGTTAATGTTAAGTTTTTTTGTTGTTATATTGACATTTTCGTCTAAAATTATGAGTGAACCTGGACCAAGCACAAGCAAAGCTTGTACTTTTTCTTCACCAAAGAAAAGGCGTTCCAAGAACACCCCCTTGCGTTCAATCGAGAAAGTAGCTGTTATCAATATGTTTAAACATGTTGAGGAGACATGGCCCAAGGATTCGTATCCTTACAAAAGTGATATCGTCAACAAAACGGCAGAAATAATGGGAATATCACGCGCAACTATGTACAGGATTCACAGTGGTAAGACTTTCACCTTACCACTGTGAATACCAAAGGTGACTTGGGCCCATTATATGCCCTATATCCTTATATGTCGCAAAAAATAATAAAACTTATAATTGTAATGAAATAAAATCTTTATTAACCGATGCTCTAAAAAGGGTAACAGTAGGAGATTGACTAAAGTGCATAGACCATGTCATTAAAGAAGAACAAAAAAATTTTAAAAATTGATGGTGTCATAGATGATTTGGTTGACCGTTTTGTGATAGAAGTTGGTGCGACTAGTTCTTCAGAGGAAGATTCTGAATAAAATTATTTACTCTATATTTGCTACTTTTATTTGAAAGAGAAATAGACTTATTGTATTGCATACCTACCATACAATAATTTGTCCCATTAACAAATTTTATTTACAAACCATTATCAATAAAAAAGTTTGAGAAACATTGGTTGGTTTGTTTACATTTTGTCTCAGAGGAAGTTGAATAGACTATAGAATGTATTTCTCTAATGAATAACAGCTATGTAAGCGGTAAGACCAATTACAAAAGATGGCCTCAAACGTCAAACTTAAGTTCAAGGAAGTTACGCGGTAGACCTCCTTAGTTAACCAGTAATGAAGATTGGTCGCAGACACTATGACGGTGGCGGTTTCGCAGCCATCGGCACTGCTAAAAATCCGCGATGAGGGTTTCATGATACCTTTCACTCCCAACGCTATAACTGCAATACTTGAGGAAACCATAGTTTTAGAAAAAGATCACGTGGGTTCTATGAACTGGAGTTTTTTGTTTTGCATGTGCGGAAAAGTTATAGATGTTGCTAGTTATGGTAGAATTTAAGAACAATTTGTGGTCATATGCAAAACAACTTATATTACCTTACCTATATTTTTTTTCTTAAAAACATTTATAATTATTTGCTTTAGGTATATATATATCAATAGTGTGTATGGTATTTAGTTATATTCGATGTATGATATCAGCGACCGTGCTTCACATTGTCTGTTATTGCTATAAATTATACTGCGATTCTTTTTATTTATTATTATGATACAGCGAGCAACTAATGGCTCAAATGCTTTAATTAGATATCAAAACATATTCGCTAGGCATTTCTATTACATACAAATAATAGTATGTCCAATAACTTTAGGACCATCGGTGGTGTGTGAGAATAATTTCCATTTCCATGCCTAGTTTCGTCTCAAACATGTTTTAGTAATATAAAATACGATCAGCCCTGCGATTGTATGAAAATCCGAATCCACCGGAATTCGAATTCATTCCGGTGTCCGAATCCAGTTCAAAAGCGGCATCGGCTCAACCTTAAATTGGTAATAACGTTTCGTGGCATAAGTAAAGTGAGTTTCGAAATGACATAGTGATAGAATATCTGAGGCACGTATACTGTATTTTTATACAAAAAATGGAATCCATAGAATAATTATTGTATTTATTTTTTAATTGTATTGGTTAATCGATTGAAATATTCCAATGTAACTTGGTGACTTACTGGAAACATTTATTAGACTAGATACGCGCACACTAGTAGTTGGTCATTGTGACTCGTTGTTTCTGTCACCGTGCTCCTGTCATTTCTATGGAACTCTTCTTCATCTCATCTTTTAATGGCTACTTAAATAAATATAAATAAATATTTAACAACATCACATACATTGCTCAGATTCCAAGATGAGTAGCTAAAGCCCCCGTATTATGGAGTATCTGAGACAACGAAGGTACCACAACACCCAGACCCGAGTCAATATAGAAAAGTTCATTTTCTACAATGACCAGACCGGGAATCGAACCCGGGACCTCAGAGATGGCGACACCTTGAAACCGGCGTGCGAACCACTTGGCTACGGAGTACGATAAAATTATTAGACATTACAATCTTAAAATACACACAAAAAATGTGTGTTACGTTACGTTAATTTAATTAATAGCTAAGTAGTTAGTTATAAAAATGATAATGTCGTTCTTTTGACGGGAGTGGAGGCCTGATGACCTATACAGGTAATCTTAATTTGGGCATCTGTGTCACAACAGAAAATCAGTTTGAACAACTGTTTGTGATAAATTTATTATTAATAACACAAAAAATGGGATTTTACTACTGAGGCATCGAGACGCCATTTTCAGGAATTCAAGAGGATTTTCAAGCACGATGACAGAAGAAAAATGTCACGATGACAAAAAGTCAACAGCGCGCGTCTTTGAAAGATGTATGTAATCGAGGCTGACCATAAAGAAAAAAAGAAAAAGGACAAAAACACGCCAGTCAACGACACAGAGACAAAGTGCAGACTTAAACCAATTTATATTTAATTTTACTTGCAAACCATTACAATTACAAAACAAATGTCAATTTACTTTATACATCATATAGAGTGTACAACTACGAAAACGATTGGCCTTAACAAAAATTTGATATAAAAAAGATGATCGTTAAATTTTAGAGGTAACTTTTTATTCCTATCGAGAAAATTTTATAAAATATACTATTGACCAAATAAAAGAAGTTTTTTTATTTTAATACAGCTAAATGTTAATGATTTTTGGTTTAAATGCCCTTAACCATTCTAATAAGCGAAAGCCATCCACCATAATCCATAGCATCGTATAGATCCCTTTATACGATATTTTACCTGACATAAACTTTATCTTACTTCAACAGGACAAGTTATTTACAATATCAGTGCAAGATATTAAGATATTAGTGTGATATAGTTCAGTGAACATCGTATATTTGTCGGTGTCATATCTAAACATAGCATTTATATTAATATGATTACTTTGCCTATAAGGGGTAAGTCAACCGCTCCCCAAGTGTCAGCCGCCCAGTGCACAACGCCTGAAGCGAAATCAGCTGTTAGGACCCCAGCAATAGCTGCTACTAACAGAGAGGCATCTGCTCGAATGTGCCTGGCCATGAGGAGGCCCGCACAAACACATAAAGTGCAACAAACCACCACACACACCCATTCTTGCAGTCTTTTTCCTGCAGAGAAAATGTTTTAGTATTATGACCATTTCCATCAAAAATGGTCAAAAGGCAAACAAACCAAGAGCATGGTCAAGGTCATACTTTAATCTACGTTAAATAAGATATTAGAAATGTGAAAGCTATTACAATGAATGAGTGTAATGATGATAATGATAATTAGACCACTATAAATATAATTATTTGACAACATCAATACGTTGTTGTTTTAAAATATAATATGCATTTACAACCATTCCCAATTATTTACTCAGCATAATCTGTTTTAGTCACGTAACCGTCATAATATAATATAAATAAATAAACAAGCTTTTAAGTGAATTCGCAAAACATAGGCAAGTTATTGCTATTTTTTCCTTTTCCTAAATCAAGAGATAGATAAAGAGACATTTTAATGGTGTTATAGGACTGCCTTAGATATGTTTTTAGGTACTTATAATTCTTTTTTCAATATTGTTTGTCCACGAACATAATTTCAGTAAATCATAGGCAAGGCAGTGTCAGGTCCTACCTCCGCTACCTCAAAAAATATTGAAAAATGAATTTCTTTTAAGTCATATTAGCGCTCAGAAAATAGTCGAAATTTCATTTTCAGAAAACTTAAGTTAGGCTTCAGGTTTTGTTTTACGAAAACGATATTAAATTTGGAAATCTTGAAACATAATACAATCAACTAGCTTTGTTAATATTTGTCATATTATCTTCATTTAGAACCCAAGCTTGTTCTATTTAGACAATTTAATTTAATGTTTTTATTTCCAGACGAAATGCTCACATTTGTTTTTTAATATATTCAGTTTTCGTTCCTAATCCTCGTTAGAACAGATAATTTTGAACAGGTCGAAATCTCCAGTTATCGCTGCTGGTAATTGATATCGACTTCGAAAAGTAACTTGAAGCTGGCATGCTAAACAAACGCTGACAAACTCTGTCGAGACTGCAGCCTCAGGAATCCAGTCTCGATTCTTGAAAACTTCAATGCGTTTTCGGTCCTGGACTTTTGAATTTCGGAGTAAAGAAACTACTGTAAGTGATGTTTATTTCTTATTTGTGCTCATTTACAATATATACGTCGTAAAGCAAACTGTTTTCTACTGAATTTTTAATGGATTACCATAAACCACAGTATTAGTATTTTATCCCTTTTCATGATAAATTACGAATAGAGGATGAAGAGCGGCTTTAAGCAGTTTTTAAATTAACTTCAGTGAAGTCTCAAATATAAGTATCTAGCTGAATCATAACTGAAATCGTAAATTTTTAATAACAATTACACGCGAAAGTTAAGTACAATTTAAAATGGCATAAATACTTACAAATTACAAGGTGATTATGAGAATTGTTGTGGTTTTAGCTAATATGAAAAACTAATGACTCGTTAGATTGGGGATTATACGAGGGTCAAACTGAAAGTTCTTAGAAAATCAAAAACTGATTACATTAGCCAGTTATTAGTTTTATTATATCTTTTCAAAATATTGTCCATTCACGTCAATACACCGCTGCATGCGATGGAACCACTGGGAAAAGCACTTTGCCCACTCGTCCTTAGGGGTCTCTTCAATGGCATCGCGATACGCAGCCACCGCTTCTTCAGCATTCATAAACCGCTTTCCTTTAAGTTTTTCTTTAATTTTTGGAAATAAATAAAAATCACAAGGCGCGAGGTCGGGGCTATACGGCGGGTGACCCAGTAATTCAACGTTTGATGTCGCCAAATAGTCGATCGTTCGCTTGGCGGTGTGCGACGAGGCGTTGTCGTGGTGAAGGAGGATCCTACTGCGAGGTCGTTTCTCTTGAACTTTTTCCAAGACAAGTGGCAAACAATTGGTAGTGTACCATTCTGCAGAAACTGTTTTTTGATCCTCTAACACAATTGTTGCAAAATGACCTATCCTTCCAAAGAACGAGGCCACCATTTTTTTTCCCGCACTTCGATCTCTCTTCACTTTAGTTGGCAACTCCTCGAAAGGAAACACCCACTGAGCAGATTGTCTTTTGGTTTTAGGATCATAACAGTAAATCCAGCTTTCGTCACCTGTTAGTATGTCGAACACAGCATTTGAGTCACCTCCGTTAAATCTTTCAATCATTTTACGACACCAATCCACACGATGGAGTTTTTGAGCCTCAGTCAAATTATGAGGTATCCACCGGGCGCAAAGCTTCCTGACCGCTAAATGTTCGTGGAGGATTTTGTGCACTTGACTCATACCGATGCCTAAGCTTGTCCGAATCTGTTGATAGGTCACTCTTTTGTCAGTCTCTATCATACGCCGCACAACACAGATGTTATCTTCAGTCGTCGCCGTAGAAGGCCGTCCCTCACGTAAATCATCAGTGAGATTAGTGCGACCACGTTTAAACTCATTAAACCAGTTGTAAACAGTCGCACGAGATGGGGCTTCATCGTGAAAGGCCAATCGTAGTCTATCATAACTTTCTTGTTGACTTAAATGACATCGAAAGTCATAAAAAATCATTGCACGAAAATTTTCTCGTGTTAAATTCATGATGACGTGACACAGACAATTTTCAATTTGCCGCCAAATCGTAAAACAAATGACAAATGAATGAAATATATACTCAGTAATATTGGCAAAGAGTTATATTTTCAAATTTTAGAATTATTTTTTTATTATATTGTTTATAAGTGGCCAGTTCTAAGAACTTTCAGTTTGACCCTCGTAACATCTATTAACTTGGTCATGACTAGAATATGCAACATTCGCCTAATATTCAATTATAGAATCCTCTTCCAAAAATAAAACAAATACCAAATTTTTTGACAACCTTTAAAGTCATTTTTCTAATTTAGCCTGCCTAATGCTTGCCTCCACTACGTTACAATCGTCGGTGTCGGTTTTTGTTGCATGATCTAAAAATAATTAACACCGAAGTATTTCCGTAAGCTGCAAAATAACAACTCGACATATAAATATTAAAATCAGACTGATATTGCATGCCCTAATCATGCATGATCTAGTGACAACTGCCTAAACCCTAATTAAATTATCGTCATCTACTATTATCTTTTCAGATTAGCCCGCATTAGTATGATTATTCTGCAATTTGATAAATACAAGGCTTGATAGGTTTGTTTACCCATTGACCGTTTTGAAATAGATGGACTATAAAGTCTACATGCAAGAAGAAAATAATATTAAGTACTAGCTGACCCGACAGACTTCGTCCTGTCAAAAAGATTTGTAATGTGGCAGTTTTTTTGCCTACGTATTTAAAAAAATTCTCCTGAACAGAACCGTCACCCTGGTGATAGGGCGTTGTGAATAAAAAATAATTAAATAAAACATATATAATGATTTAAAAGTAAGTAATCGCTTTATTGTTAATCATGTGAATCATAATTATTATTGCAATGTATTAATAGTAATAGTATTAAATATAGAAAAAAGAGATTTTTATGATCATAAAAACACATTACACACAACAGCATTATAAAAGTAAACTATTCGAATTAAAAAAATATATAAACATTCTCAAGGAAAAATGCTGGAAGAATCCATCTACCTGTACCCCGGAATGGGACTCGAACCCATTCGCGATCCAGGGACTGCTCTAACCAATGAGCTATCTAGGACCCAACAGCTTTGCTACTACAGAGCGTATTTTCATCAATGTTCCGGCAATACATGTAATGACGTGGAAACTGATGCATTTTATCTCGCGTGCCGAAACTAATACAAAAGAAACGCGAGTTTCGGAACGCGACATTAAACTCCTCCAACTATGTATTCTGTGCTCCAACGCACACACGCACATTGTTTTGATAGATATGATCTTTGACGTTAGGAACACACCTACATTGCTTAGACAACAGTGAGTGCTTGTAATTTAATATGAACTTTATACCATAGCAATAAAGCTCAAATTGACTACGTTTTAGTTACAAATCATTTGTATGGGAAAAAGAAAAGGGCTATTTTTAGGGTTTTTCCAGCAATAATTCTAATTTTTCTCGCCGTAAAAACCATCCTTGAACTTCAACGAACATTTTAAAAAAAGATTTGGCCAAATTGGTCGAGGCGTTGTTGAGTTATGCGCTTACCAACACATTTTGCGATTCGTTGAATTTTAATATAAAAATTAAGAAAGTACCTATGTTGTTGATTTGTTTTGAAGAACTTACTTCTTTCACCAGACTGTAACTATCATAAATAAAAAAGAACGTTGGTAAATAATGTCTTGCATGGGTCAAATGGCTACTTGACAGTTTTACAATCATTTTTAACAAACTTTTTACATTGTTTTCTTTTACTTATAAATTTAACACCGAAAGACACGGTAATGTAACATTTGAGCTGTAAATTCACTAAAATAAATGTCCTTATAGGGCGGTGCTATACCAGGCACATTTTTGACAATTCTTGAAACGATGACGAAAGAAAGTAATAGGGATAATGCCTGGGTAAAATAAATATATCAGATTAGTATTTTTATTTGCTTCAATTTATCAAGAAATGGCTTATATAATAGGCATTCAAGTTGAGGAGTGGGGACTCGTTACATGTACAAAGGTGTGTGGTATCGCCGCAATTTATTGATTAGACAGAGAATAAATAATACGTGTTCAATATTCTTCAATTGACAGACATAAAAAAAAAAAATCAGCATTCCTATTCTCATTCCTTTATACATTATGTTATGTAGCTAATAAATATCAATATTTTAAGAGCTAGAAATAGACGATGTCTGTTTAATTAATTTCCGAAACTCAGCTTTATATCAGAAAAAAATTCGACCGTATATCATGATCATGAGACGATTTGATAAAACACAACAAAAATTTGAAAGTATGTAGCGATCCATCTAGTATTATATCAAGAACAATTTACACTAAGTTTATTTATTGTTTTTATTTTAATTTTACTAGCTTTTGCCTATGTTTTACTCATTCGAACATTTAAATAATTCGCACTTAATTTCTAAATGAAATTTCTTGCAGTGTGTTTATCCGTTTCTTTTGCATGTACTGT